AACACTTCCCCAACTTGCCCTTTCGTTATGCGTAACATTCCCCGTATTAATTTTTAAATAAAACAAAAACGTTTTTTAACGGTGCGATTGGGTCTTTTTTCCCACCCCCCCCCCCCCCCCCCCCCCCAGGGATACCTACCGCCAAGACCGACAAACATTTAGCCAGCGTTCCGAGCTTATGGTTGTCGCGGGACAAAGATATCTAAGTGTTCCTAGGGAGGGGGCGTGTTTAGGAGACACAAGATGGGCAGTTTTATTTCGCGATGATTTCGAGTTGTTAGGTAGTCTTATGGCTACTAGCACCTAGTATAGGCCACCAATAGAGATATCCTAACATCATACCTGAGGTGCCACTTATGCAAAAGTCGATGATGTTAATGACGTGTATAAGAAAGATGAAAGCCTGTAGATTGGTTTAAATATGGTGAATGCTTGTCTTACCGCACTCAAGTTTACATACGGAATTCACCCCTCTTGCCATAATTTAATGTTGGTAATCTTGTTCTACTCCTATTAAGGTTACTCGTCCATAGACAGTTCTCATAGCTATTTCAAATTGTTGTTAGCAGTTCAAAGTTTAACTTAACCTCTCGTTTTGTTGGTATTCCTCTTCTCATTTATGGCCCCTATTAGTTAGTTCGTCGTTTTTGGAATCTCCTATTTCCTTCTAGGACCAAACTGTACCATTATTACTCCGGTATTTTGGTGGCTTATGCCCACGTATCTCTTCACATCAGTAGGCCGGCATAACGAAAAATTCCCCATATCGTGTTCCCGCCTATCCAGCGCTCTCCGCTTATTATATTCGTATGGTTCGAGCCAATCGACATTTCAAAATCTCTCTCGTAGACATGTAAGACACTGCTCTGCGTATAAAGTGTTCTAGTCCGCTTATTTTCGCTCGTTAAACTAAGGGATCCTCCATAGACTATAGGGGGGAAGTTTAAAACTAGTGCTTTCTTCATATATTTCCCCGGTGTGGACCTTTGAATTATTTATCACTGTTTAGCTTTAGTCAACTACGTGAGAAATTAGAAATAAACAACTACTGCTTTGGTGACAGTTAACATCCTAACGGTACATGCAATTAGCTTATATATTTTGCGCGATTATCTCCCAACACTTTTAGTCATTAAATTTGTAATCTACTGGTAATCACAAGCACGTTACTATGGCCTTTATCGGGCTATTCTAGTAGTCCAACCCCAAAGACTATTAGGAGTAATAAGAAGTCTTAACAATTAGAATTGCTGTATGCCTTTGATACCTTCGACCCCTGGATTTGGTAATAGCGGTTATACTAAAAATACCCCGTCCTCATAATAAGAAAGAAAATCGTATTCAATTCGCTAAGTAACGTTTATTTAATTGACCGCCAATATATCAGCCTCCTGTTCCCCTCTTTTCTGATATTGAATCCGATCTCCGAGCCAGCGGTGTTTCCACTCTAGTACTTTCCACCGGCCCTGTACTAGCCTCCCGTTTTTCAATATTTCCCGACGCCGTCTCTGATGGATCATTTGATTTCCATGGATACAGTCCATCCTCCGACATCGGCGACGGGGGGATATCCAATCTTTCATATCGACCTTGACTCCGGGTAGACGATGATAGTGATGAAACCACGGAAGTCCCCCTTTCTAGTGTCGCCGGTGAGAGCGTGGTTTCCGCCGGGGGTACGTGGGAAGTACTCGCAACAACTTCCTCCGATTGCCGACTCTGCTCCTCGAGCTTCCCGTATGTTGGGATCTGCGAGTCGTACATCTCCTGCCGTTCCTGGTTCTCATTTTCCCGGGACCTGCGGAACCGCTTAACAATACAGATCGGGATGAACAAACCCGTGGCCGCGGCCACCGCTCGACCCAGCGCACGCAGGTAGCTTGGATCTTTGCCTCTTGGCTCCCTCTTTCTCCGCCGCTCTTTGGAGCAAAATGCGACCAACGACGCAAGGAATACAAGTCCTATTACACCAGCAATAACAACTAGCACAATAGCCCATGTGGGAATTGACGCTGGGTTTATGCTTGCGCTCTTTAATGGCGTGCTCTGCGAACTTAGGCTTGCGCTACTCGTCAAAGTACTAGATATGCTTGTGCTCGTGTTGTTCGGTAGCATGCTTGTAGTAGTAGTTGATGTAGGCTTGAGTGTAGGTAGAAGCCCAGGCGGGTGGGAGGGCCCATTTTGAGGGTAGGACGTAGGCGTAATAGTAGGGCTTCCTAAGATATCAGTTCGAGATGTAGCTGTAGAACCGGACGCAATAGATGGTTTAATTGAGGTCCCTCCGGGACTCCAGCTACCGCCGCCTGTCCGACTGGACAGACAGTCACTTGCTGCGTTTCGCTGGTCTAAGACGACTCGTAGTGCTTCTAAATTGACCACTTCCCCTCTGACCCAGCTGCTACTCGGCGCATGGTTGGGGCACTCGGTTGTATGATGTCGAAAAATGGCAACCATTTCACCCACGCAAGTTTGGAGTTTGGTGAGTGTTCCTTCGTCTTTTAACAACTAACGGTACAAGCATATAAGTTGCCTAGATCTATATAGTCGAGCTCCTAGATGAACTGCTGGAGACTACCTGAAGAAGGTGGAGTTTACAGCGGGCGTCCTGTTTATGACCACTGTGAAATGAATTTAGGGTAATTGGCTTATCTATTTCTGGATACCCGGTGCAGTTCACGGAAACATGTTACATAGCAGAACCCGACGGGGATGGGGCGCAGTCGGTGATCGCGCGGGTAGTATTGGCTCGTGCTACGCATATTAAACCTAACCAGAATCGATGCTTTAATAGTGAAACAATAGGGCTACAGCCTTTATGATATGGGTGTTATATTCGCGTAAACCTATCTGTTAAACATAGACGACAGGCTTATATGAATCAGACCCCATGGGCCGTGTCACCAACCTTTTCACATAAGAACCTGAACATTCTAATGAAACCATCGGTCTGCTTAACATCTATTTACTCGATTCGTAGGACTCATGCGATTGACTGAAGTGGGAAGTACAGATATGTATGGGGCGGTTGGGGGCGACACATCTCGACTATATATGGGGGCTTACCTGTTTTCTGAAATCATAGAATACGATGGTTTCCTTTCATACGATTTTTTAAACTATATTATAATATGGCTATTGGTTCAGCTATTTCTATTTCCCGATTTACTCACAGTCGTTTCGTCGATTGAAACATAGGGTGGTAGAAGCGCAGAGCGAGGGCCAGGAATTAAATGAATTAGCACTAGGTCGACTAGATTCGGCCAGCTTACTTACCCGTAAAACTGGGTGGTTGCATTTCCGTCGAGGATTCAAGCCACCAATATCTCAGACAGTATGCTGGCGCTATGAAGACGGAGCGGCGTTCAGATGCACTTTGGGTTGCAATAATCGATGGGGCTGTGCTCATACGCGTCGAGGTTTCACTCGACGGCCCCAGCTGACCAGATGGGGAGTAATCACCAGTAAGTATAAACTAGTCACGTATGGATAGCATGAGTAGCACGAGTAATATAAGCATCACTTTAACTACCTATTCTCTGTCTGTCTGCTACCCTCGGATGGTAATGTTACACGACAGTTCAGCCACCACACTAGAGACGTAGGTATATGCATTTGACTTGGACCAAGTCTCAGTGCTATTTTTATACAAAAATTCGTAACGTATAATTCAAAACCATTTACCTATTGGAAATGTTTCACCGTCAAGGGGCCATTGACATTATCAAGGAAAGAGATATATATATATGCGTAACTCAATATAATATGATTTGAGGGTAACCTGCCTTCTTATAAATCAAATCAAACCATTTTAGCATGATCAACCGCCCTTTAAGCCTTCCGTCCATTGGGGACGGAAGTAAGGGGGCAGCTTCATTCATCATAGATAGCCAAAGCTCGATCTATGGTCCGTCACCCTGTAAACCACCTTTGAAAAGGCTTCCAATCCAATGCTATGCTACGTGGGGTTGATAAACGAAGGAAGAAAAAAGGAATTTGATTTTTCCTTGGATAGGTAGTATCCTATTTATACACATTTAACTAGATTTTAACTTGTAAATAAGTTTAACTAACCATGAAATTCCGATTTTAGGTTCTATTGCGACCAAACCAGTGTTAGGTATTATGTATAAAGTACTTAATTAAAGATTAAAAGTCTTGCTTACGCTTTGAGTGAAGTAAAAAAAGAGAGATAATAGTATGACAACACTCATTTCAATATCTGGATTCTAACGAGGCATGAAGTTTTAAATACCTCGGCATCCCGAACTTCAAATGAAAGATCCCAACAGAGGCAGATTTACGAGGTTCTAATACCCTAAGAATTTGATAATGTTAAAACACGTAAATATGAATTTCTAGACTATTTATATTGTAGAATATAAGTGATAAGAAGGGGACTAATAATACGTTAACTGCTTAGCGAGTTAAGAGTCCTACGCGGGCTGGGTCTTGGACACCAATATTGAAGAAATATCATTCTTTTATATTCCGCAATCAATTTGATTGACTGCAGAGCCTATAAGCCGACGAATCATGCAAATCGCATATACCATTCTGTGCTTTCGTAAGCGATTATGCATATCTCTTATTCCCTTTGGAGAAGAAGCTTTGCAAATGCCAATGCAAATGAAGCCGCGATCTCGCAATCAGGCAGACTCAAGTTCCCCATGGTGAGGAAATTTCCGATCACCAACTTAGTCCACCAGCCTGGACAAGTGCAGACCGTCCCAAAGAGGGATTAGAAGTGTCTCTAAACGGTCGTTCTCAGTCGCGAGGTCGTTGTACTCCCTAATGGCAGCCACAGCGATGGCCTGGGAAGAATCGGGGTTATCGAAATCGGCGGGTCGCCAGGGGTTGTCCGGACCAGACTCGGCAACTAAGCCTTGGCGTAGTGTGTTGTCTGCTGCAATGATGCCGCCGGGGCGGAGGAGTCGATTCTTGGCACCTGGAGCCGACATCTTCAAGATCTGGCGTAGGTAACCACTATAGCCCGTCTTATCCGCGTCGATGAAGATGATATCATAAGGTTCGCTTATATCAGCGAGCTTGGTGAGACTGTTGGTATCCAAGAATATTAGGTTAGTTGTATCCCGAAGAAGGAGAGGAGGGGAAATAGGGCTACTTACGTCTCAGCGGCAGGACCGACATGTACATCGATATTCTCGAAGCCTCCATCCTTCCAAGCCTCCTGTGCTAACTTGGCGTACTCTTCGTTGTACTCGAGGCCAGTAACTTTACCCTGAGGGCCGACAGCATGGCTCCAAATCACTATCACGCCGTAAGTAAGTGTTGACAAGCTGGGAAGACTCGGCCAAGTCTCGGAGTAATGGATCCTAAACAAAATTGATTTTGGAGTACTAACTCCCGAGATAGGCTAAAAGGCGGAATGGATCTGGATATTACATACTGGCCGAGTAACCAACATAAACACCAATCTCAAGGACTACCAATTGCGTTAGTTATATTTCAAAGTACGTTATACTTCAGCATGTTATTTATAAACCTACCTCGTTTAGCGCCAATGGCTCGAGCAAGGAAGACAAGGGCCTGAGACTGGAACTCTGAGATCATATAGTTGGAGTCATGGCGCTCACGGAAGATTTTGTAATGGTAGTTTCGGATAGGCTTAGGGATAGTAAGTGATTGCCCCGACGAGTAAAAGGTAACCGCTCGGCCTAGCGCCTCGTTGGCATAGAGAGGCGTCGTTGACACCTTCATATTGCCGGTATTTATAGGTTAATTAATTGTATTAGTCGGTGTCTGATATGAGATGGGTTAGATATCTGATAAAGCTACCTTGGTAGGTAGGTACCTATTCTTTATGAAGCGAGGAATATAACATCATGGGTAGATACGTACATTTTTAAGGATGTCAGAGGGGACAAAGGGGTGTTGAAGAGAGTCTTTCAAGATAGTAGGTTGAAGAAAACTTGCCGACCGGGGCTGGAAAGAGAATTAAATAAAGAAATTATCAAAACCTCTGGGGTAATGGCGGCACTTGACTGTTGATAGCTGACGCGGATTTTGTGAGTTTCGGAAGTGACTCCTCCCCTACCGTGGGTACTTATACGTAGTGAGTAATATGGCGTCACCCCCACTAGTATTATACTTGGTCATGCACTTGGTCACTTAGTATCCTCGGTAAATGTATCACGAACCATGCTAACTTATGTAGACTCTTTTTAGGCAGCTAGGTACATACATAGAGCAAGCTCCTCCTATATCCTACACCGATCCCGGAGCCGAAAGCCGAACCCCGTATTATTGTGGCAGTGTTACTTTGACAGGCCAAGTCCGACGTCCAGGAGTCATGTAACCCGGATCAGATAAGATTATCTCCGACTTTGACAGGTGGAGCTGAGTCTAACCACTATGTAGTTACACAATGCCTTCTTTTACTAGAAAGTTAAGATCACCAATCTACCTAGGTACATACCTAGTTACCTAATATATAGGTAAATTTACCTAAGAATTCCGTGAATACCTTAGTAGGTACGTAATTCGAGCTTATTTAGAAACTTTACTGCTGCATACAACCACGGAAACCTAAATTCCAAATACATAGGTACTTCACTTTATAGGTACTGAACCATGCCGTCATACGAATACAACACTGATGCGGCGCCCGAAAGCTCGGATATCCGAGTCTATAACCAAATCCACGCAAACATTGGTCAGCATATCGAAAGTGTTATCCAACTTTGGCCTCACCCTCCTCGCAACCAATGCCGTTAATTGGTACATCTATCATCTTATACCACCCTACGTTAAATATTAGCGCTTATATTATATGTTTAACTCCGACCGTCTGGAATTTCGATAGTATTGCGAATTGGAACGTGTCCGACGTCGGTCGTGGGAGTCATTGGCGTATAGGGTTACAAGAAGAGATAACTACCATTAAAGAAATCATCGAAGAAAAAGACACTTCTCATACTACCGTAGCGGCAATTAGAGCGATATAGGAGCCGGACGTAATTGTTGTCGGCTTTTTTTTTTTTTTTTTTTTTTTTTTTGCGAACAGCGCTTCATTGCTATACAATGTGTGATAGGCCTGTTGAAGAGGGAGGAATGGCAAGGGACCGGCTGCGTATCGCCGGGCAGTATTCGAATCCTCCTCGGCCTCCGTGTCTTCGCCGGGCTATGGGCCGAGCTCCGGGTGGAGTGATTAAGTACTGCTCGACAGATGCGCGCGTTATATACATATTCTTCGCTTATACGGTGGGATTAGGGGCTCTGCAATAAGACTCAATGGTGTAAGGATGTATAGGGGATGAGGGGCGAACCCACTTTCGAAGCATTGACGATAGCATCCAGACCCTTCGCAACAGGGGAGGTAGATCCCACTAGGCCATAGATAGCAACCAGTATGCCGCTGGTCATTGCGCTTCTCATCTCCAGTAGGCAGCTAGGCGAAACCGACATTCGAAGGCGAAAGAATAAGGGACTGAGTCATAAATACTCATCACTATCTACCTATTCACACCGTCCATTAAGATAAATAAGCCCCAGTAATAAAATATCAATAGTTGGTAGAGATATAGATAAATAGGTGGCTATGTCGCTTCGACGCTTTGACGTGAATCGTTTAATAAATTGAAGACCTACACGATATACCATGTCGAGCTACAGGGAGCACAGAACCTACAATTCTAGATTGAGTTAGGTAACCCCTTGTGTTAAGTTTGTACAGTACCGTGCTTTACGGGATGAATGATCGAATATGGCTACCTCGGCGGCTGAATAGAAGATGAAAATCTCCACGTTGGGTGAAGAAAGATCATATAATACGCCGCAATTGTGGTATCACAACCTTAACAGATGTTGGCATCACGAAGTTTACACTGTTCGCACCATCAATGAAATCGTGCTTATGGTCAAGAGGGTTGCGTCGGGATTGAAAAGAGTCGGGAGAGCTCGGCTGGACAAGATATATCGGTACAGAGGGCAATATACACGGTCGTGGGATATGATGTTTTCTTGACTGATTTGCTCTTATAATCGATGTTCGGTCTAACCATCACCTCCTACCCCCTCTACTTTTATGTATTGTCCCCATTAATGACTCGCAGCCTCCCAAACCCACAACCATTTTCAAACGCCGGTACGAGTATGCTAGGTACCATCGTCTTTTTACTCTTCTGGCACACCGGAAAATAGGCCGACTCTCATGCGGTGACTCTATAAAATGGCATATTAGTATTTCTATTTGACAGTCAGATACGGTATGGTATTAGGCAACCTACAAAAGGTAGTTTCGGTATGACTACTCCTAGCACAGCTAGAAAGTTGATGGTGAAATACGTGAGGTCGTAATGGGTATAATGGGTACTTAGGAGGAAGAGCACAATAGGGACGCTAAGCAAGAATTTCTTGGCGGGGGTGTACTGTGCGCCATCGTCGATTTGTTCCCACATATTTAAGTTGTCATATGCGCCACTGTTGAAGTCGAAAGGTACGCCGCGAACGTAGTGGAACATAATGTAGGAGCCGAACATGTAGGAAATATTGGTTAAAGTCCAGGACGTCTCCTGGGAAACACCGGGTATAACATCCCAGAGAATCTTGAGCGCAACGATCAGAACAATGTGGATGGTCCACGCCCCTGTTGATGTTCTCTTGTTAGTTAAATTTTTCCAATGCCAGAATAGCCAGGCCACGAGGAATATAAACCCAGAAAGTGTATCCTCATATACAACATCTTGACATACCTTTAGCGTTGACCCAGTTCGCATTGAGATTCGGGAGAGTGGACTGATCGTTCAGCTGCTCTATCGGCTCTTGCGGTTCCTGATATATCTGAAGGATGCTGCTCGATCTCCGCCTCCTAGCTGACTGAGAATCGCCCATATCGAGATAGGTGGTACCTCCCCGTCTTGGAGGATTTGTACCAACGTCGTAAGAGACGGTGCGGGGAATGAGGATTGGGGAAGACACTTTGGCGGTATTGGAGGGAGAATTCGAATTGGTATTTTCAGATTTGTTCGTCATCCAGACAATTCGACCTGGACAACTAAAATTTTCTTCGGCGTGCCGAGGAGATGGGATGCGAGTAGGATACTGCTATTGTGACGATACTCGAAGAAAAGGGAGAGACTAGCCAGTCGAGTGTTAGACGCAGAGGCGGAGTAGTAGAAGACCAAGTAGTCTAAAGGGTATCGCAGAGAATGCAGCCGATGCTGAAGAGTAAAAGAAAGCTAGAGATGCCGTGTTAGGAGAGGAGTCGTAAAGGACATGAGGGATCGAATGTCTAATGCGAGATGATGCAAGATGGAGCGACGAGAGTTTCTAATACCGTAACCCCCTAACTGGGAAAAGACGAAGAGTGGAAATAATTGATTGACGATGAATGCAATTAGCTGAAGCGTATTACGAATAAAGTGGAAGATCACGAAGTTTAGAAGAATGATAAGAGGTTAGAGAGAGAGAGAGGTTAGGTAGGATCAGGTAATACTTGGACAAGAATGGTTATGGAAGGCGATGATCAAAGAGTAGCAACGAAGTAAATCAGCAGCATTTGAACAAGGACAGGTTTACGGGATGGGTACAAGGGCCAAGGGCCAAGATTTGGTGACTTCCCTGCTTCCATTGGACAAGGGGGTGGGAACGACTTGCCAATTACCAATGAGTTACCCCCAATTTCTCAATTTCTAGCTAGTAATATGTACCTCGTACTAGGTACCTATTAGGTAGTCTGCACAGCCTGGACCGCGTGGCTGCAGCTGGAGATTTCGGGAATTTGCTGGGTCTCCGGTCATCTAAGTACCTGGTAGGTAATCTTGCTCTGAGCTTTCCTCTAAAGGTACTACCTTAGGTACTCGCTATCAGGGTCAGGGGTACGCAGAGAGTCTCACGAGACCACGTGATGTCTGGATGTTCGATGTAGTCTTCCATTCCTTCCCAAGTTGTCGGGCTCCGCGTGTCGGGCTCCGCGGAATTCGACTAGAATTCTTCATCTCTTTAGCCTATAGCTGCTTAGATGAATAAACCTATCAGTCTAAAGCAGTATGCAGCCCCGCTAAATGTTACACTAATCTGGTTACATGATTAGCGTGTTTCGATTTATAGATCGCCACAGTGAAATCTGCTGCCGCTTGGACGTATTGCCCCTGGCAGTACGGTAAGAGTACGCAACCGTAACACGGTACGGTATGTTATACGTACCAAGTAACAACATGTTACCAGGGTGCATTAATTTCTGAAAAACATTTGAAGAGCCGCATCATCAACATTCATCAATTTGATGAACTACGTATTCATCTAACCTACCCACCTCCAAACCCTTTAACGACGCATTTTCAAAGTTGCGATCCGCAAGGGAAGATCACTCCCGTCCCCGAGATCTGAATGCGACCTTGTGCTATTTTAAAAGAAGAAAGGGTTTGTTTTGGAAGGAATATTTCCTTAGGAAATACCTATCCTTATCATTTTTCTTGTCTTGCGCAGCTTCGACCTACAGCTCGTATCAAGAGCGCGGCAGTTGCGGCAAGATCATAGCAAGTAAACTTTGGTACTGCATTATTTTGCCCCACACAAAGTATTCCACGCTTGTGGATTTCACTCTTTTTTTTCATCCCTCATCCGCGGTATCACCATTACTCTTTGTTGTCGCGCCCCGTTCACTAAACACTAAACTGTGATGAGCGGCGCTACCGAGGCATCCGCCCCTAACTCCGGCCAGGGCGGTATTAGCACTCCTAGTGACTTATCCAGCCAGAAGCGGTCGCGCGACTATGGAGAGCAGCTAAAGGGCTTGTCCCCATCTGATGATGAAGATCACCAGAAGGATAATTCGTTACCAGCATTGAAGAAACAGAAAACGGTCAACTCCGATAGTGGTGATGACTCAGATCTGGACGACGGCGAAATAGTAGAGTCGAGTCCAAATCCTAGTTCAGCACATGCCCAACCCATCACCGAGGCTGTAGCAGGTCCCTCTAAAACACATGCCCCTGACAACGTTGCGCATGAGCCTTCTGAGGATGGTGAGATTGACAGTCCCATGGCTAAGCCTCAGGAGTCTGATGAATTGGACCAACCTTTCTTCATTGACAAGACCGGGAGCAAGCCTGATCAACATTCAGGCTGGAACCAAGGGCTTAGTCTAGGTGCAAGAACGTCATTTGGGAAGCCAGCCGCAAACCTTTTCCCTGCAAACTCAGCTGCTAGAGAAGGGCCTATGTTGTCCTCCACGTCTTCGCAGCGCGATCGTAAAGACAGGATTGTTCAATATGGTGGCGGTGGAAGAGAAGAAGATGATGACGATGAGAGGGATAGAGACTATAAGCCGCCAACTGAGTCGCCTGACGATCAGCCACCGGTTAGATTTACCGTCGATGGAAACACATGGTATCTACCTCATCTAAATTTTCGAGCCAAAAAGCATTCTGTTGCTACGGCAGACTTCTCCAATGACAGAATACAGACCTGGATTCTTGCATTTCTCGAGAGGAATGCGAAGGGTGTTGATCGCGTGTCTACCAAAGTGGTCCGAGAAGGATTCACTAGCCATCTAAACCTTAAAGGAGCGAATCTTTTCAAGGGCGTTAAAAAGCATGCCGACGCTGCTACAAGTGCGGCTCAAAAGGCTATAGATGATGCCGGCCTTGGGGAGCTGGTTGAGAAGAAGGTTAGGCAGTTCCAAACACGGAGAAGTAGAAATACCAAAGAAACTAGGGTTACTAGGGTTACTAGGGCTACTTCGGCCAAGGAGCCCAGCCAAGAAGATACTATACCCGCTACAGATAAACGAGAGGAAGTATTAGTTGATGAGGACGAACTGCGGCAACAGCGAAAGTATTTCCCGTGGGCAGAAGATCCAGCTCAGCACTGCCTGTCATGCTCCGGAGTTGGGCATCGTGCTCATGAATGTCCACAGCGCAACTGTAAGTTCTGTGGGAGCCAGGAACACGCTCTGTTTGGCTGTCCCACGAAGCAGAGGTGTTCCAAATGTCGCCAATTAGGGCATAGCAGCGCGAAGTGCGAGGAAAAACTTGCCCTCGCGTTGGATGAGCAAGGCGGTTGTGCAATATGTGGCGCCGAACACACGGAAGATTTGTGCTCCGAAATATGGAGGAGCTTCACTCCAATCACTGATTCCCATCTGAAGGTCAAGGATGTCCCGGCGTTCTGCTACACCTGTGGCGGCGCAGGCCATTACGGGCCAGAATGTGGGTTGCCGGACAGGGGAGATAAAGTGACAGGAAAGACGACATGGTCACAAACCAATCGTCTTCTCTACATAGACCAGAACAGCCAGAATATTGCTATCGCTTGGGTCGGCGTGGATCAAAAAGAAGATTTCCACATTCTTGGAAGGGCAAAAAGGCAGACACACACTCACTTCATCTCTAGCGAAGAGTCCGAAGAAGAGCTTGTTCATGCGCCTATCAGAAAGGCAGAGCCTCGAAGTCAGATTAGGATAGCAAGCAATATCGGATCGTTAGGGCAAAGTAGTAATCAGCCCAGACCGCGTCGTAATAACGACCAGAGTTATAGCCGTCAGAACGAGAGAGAGTTCTCGCCTCCGCCTCTACCTTCGTACTCCCAAGGCAGTGGTACCTCGTCTTGGCAACCACCTCTTCCTCCAGGACCGCCACCACCCGCTCAGAGGAACGGGTACCAGGGTTCATTGCCGTCCGCGCCTACCTCTCTACCCCCGCGTCCGCCGGCCTTCAATCAATCGCCCAGCAGAGGCGGTTCAGGCAGTAGGGGTGGTCATTTCAATCGAGGCGGTCGAGGTGGGCGCGGCCGAGGAAGAGGTAGAGGACGAGGATAATGGTTTCATCACTTTAACAGCATGTTGAATACGTTAGATGAGTTATGTTCTTGTCAAGCCAGGGCATGAATAGTCACCGCCCAGGTGCAGAACGGATAGGTCTCATGACCGGTTATACCTGAAAACCTAAAATATGGGTTAACCGAACTCGATATGAGGTGTATTGATATATGCTTACTCTGTATTTGAGGCCAGGTGCCAACCACTAGGTTAACACATTATTATACATAGCAAATTTCCCACCTTTATTTTAGCAGCCCTCTATTCTTTTTGGATTTGAGGCTTGTATCAGCAGCATCAGGAGGGATGGCTGATGTGTGCTTAGTCGTGTTGTATGCGATTAGTACCTACGACGCGATGCAATAACAGGTACCTTAGGCACATTTCTAGAAAGCAATAGTAGCATATTGAACCGTTTACACAAGGTATTCGAACTATTGAGGGAAATAGGCTGTTGCCATCGACCCTCTTTAGGAGTCAAACCCGGAATCGCTTAGGCGAAAGCCCTCTATCTTCTTCGTATTTGGTGTTCTACTAAGTTTACCGACCCCATGGGATCCCTAACAGCGAACACGAAACCATCCTAAATGTAAAAGACGTACGTCTATATCCGCGTCTATGTATACAGATGGAAAAGGGAAAAGCCGACCTTATATCCTAGAAGATGTTAGTCGGCCCTATTATGTACTAACTAACCAAAACCAACTGTAGCCAGTTCCCTTATATTGGTTGTTTGCCATGAGTCATTCCATCGCCCGGTTAGCTCAATCGGTAGAGCGTGAGACTCTTAATCTCAAGGTTGCGGGTAAGTCAATGCTCAACATCTGAGATTTATTTACCATCTTTGCTAACATCACCTTAAAGGTTCGACCCCCGCATCGGGCTCAATTCCTGATGCTTCCCAGACTTCTGGGATTAGCAACCCTTTCTTTCTTTTTTTTTTCTTTTGTCCTTTTTTGTCTGTTTGTGGGTTCAAATAACTTTTTTTTTTTTTTTTTACCAGGGTTTTATCTTATAATTATTCGGAATAAAAGTCGGGCCGATGCTACCTAACTGAGGTCGTTTCGAAGTACGATCGTCAACGTCTTAACAGTTCCATTTCATCCTTTGGTGATAAGACGGACTGGAATTATAGGGCCTCAAGCTCCCTCTCCTTAAAGGGATACCCTAAGTGTGCCGTGCGCCATGGATCCACGTTGTTGTATTTGCCCAACAATTAAGTATAATATAGCCAGCCAGCATTAAGATGTTAACATGAGGGTCATATACCTTAGGTACCTAATCTTCGTCCGGCGTATGCGATTCTAGCCCTAGTAATGAGCTTACGAACTTTTGATAGTTGGTAGAACAATGCGAACCGTTTTATTGTTTGCCCTTAAACAATGGCACAATCCTCTTGTTATAAAGACTAGATAGGACAAGGTAACAACGACACAAGAGCCGAATGAGATCTCACCATGTGAGTGGAAACAGTACCCTTGTTCACAGTAATAAGACATACATATATATAATATATCTCTTACTGCCAATAAGCGTCAGCGTGTTTACTTATTCCACTTTGATCTGAAAATGACTTCACACCCGCAGCACACCACCAAGCCTACCCTCCCCAATGTACCACCAGCACTCAACATCAACCTCCCTGGCCTCGGCAATGCATCGCGTAAGAAAGATTCCCAGCAGGGAGTCCAACACGCATCGGGTTCGCACATAAACATGTCCCGCCGTGTTCCCGGCTGGGAGAGAAAGACGCTCCCCCCAGTAGTAGCAAATCCGAATTTGCTCCCTCATCCCCCTTGGCAGGCTAAGGCCAAGGAGCCAAAAAGCCCGACGACTATGGACTTGATCCTGGCAAATGCCGCGGCCAAGTCGAGGGACCCGGCTGCTCATGCGTTTTTCCCGCGAAGGCAGGAAAGATATGCTGCGGGATTTGGACGCAGAAAGCCCGCGTGGAGCCGGCGTTAAGTCAAGTTCAGAGGACGAAGTTCACCGATTATTAAGTTAGTGAGTTTAAAGAAGAAAGAAGGCCTCATTTTAATGGTGATGGTTGCGGTTTTTTAGAATTGCTAACTGGTAGTTGCCATTTCCTTGGCTTGTGGCAAGGAACGAGCATTTTAATATAATATCTTCTTCATATTTTCATTTACAGTCTCATATATATATTCTTACGTAGCTTACGTAAGCACCTCATCTTATTCTGGAGTTATTTGGAGTCTTACATCTTAGGCTACGATATCAATAAATTGTAAAATTATTACGAAAAACACATAAAAGAGTTTCGAAAAATGATCGTGATACGTAAAACAGAAGATTTGAAGATTACCTTTATCTAATCTAATTTTACTCTCAGCCACATGTAAAGCAGACATGTACTCCAACCTACTGGTAGTTTATTGTGACACATGAAGCTATAATAAGTTATTCACCCTTATAAGTCCTAACAATTTTCAAAGGTCCCCAACAAACGCCGCTCATCAAAGAACACGGCTTTTGTTTCCATAGAAATTTTGTTAACCCGGCTGCCGAATAGTCGACTAGAAACATATTTCAGCAGGGAGGACCCGTCGAACACATTACTACGACAAAATGCATTTTCGTAATAGTATCTGTGTGTGAGATCTACCAATGTACATTCAAATTGACTTTGTTCACGTGTCAGCCAAACATTGAGAGACGTCTTGAGTGTTTGTAAAAAAGATTTTTGACACACTTCCTCGGGTTTAACCGATCACGGCCAAGGCCGGCATTTTTTTCTGCTTTCAGACTCTTGTTTGCTCGTAGAATCGAACCCGAGGCTTTTTTGGCATATAATTTTTGCAAGTGGTCCGTCTTACCTAGTGGCGAGGGCTTGTACGACTTAATCGGCATCAAGCATATGAGACTCTTATTTGTCGAACACACCACTGCACCACTAGGTAATTTCGTAATCGTATATACGCCATCACGATATATCTAGCAGGACTTGGGATTAGATAGTGCATTGGAAGGAGACCGGCAAATTCGAACGGGTAAGTGCAGTTAGTGATATGCACGTTACCGCTCAGGTGAAGACGTAAACCTAGATACTGGAGAGGTGGTGCTAAAGTATTCAGAGGGTGGTTTAGGAGGAGGTTAAAAACGATCTAGCGCTACCTAGAGATGTCTTTAAAAATATGTCATGTTCTAGATACAAGACATGTGCCTAATCAAATAGAAAGAGACGGCTGTCTTCGGACGATACTCAGTCAATTTCGACGGGGAGGCGATCGGATAGCGGTGGGTATATCTTGCGAGTATAACCCTACGTACCTCCTAACATATTAACAAGATCTTGCAGGAAGTGACATCCATCAGAGTGCCTATCTACCAGTGAATCCCCCTCGCGCCAGTCCTTCCGTCTCCGGGATACTACCGCATATGCTCGCGGGCTCTCGGATACCACAGTATAACAGGAATGCTATATTGGGAGAGCCCCATGCGGCGTAGATTTGGAAACACCAATTATGATGCATGCTACTATTGTAGGGTAAAATGTCTTGTATCTATGATACTTGGGGGCCAAGAGTTTGGTGAACGTCGCTTTCGGATGTCGTGAAAGGCTTCCTTGAGGGGTTAGAGATAATATATGGATTTATATAGACGTAAGTGGATGCTCCTATCTGTACCTATGTTTACGCCCCCTGGGGTAATTTTGTGGCTTCTTAATGTTGTAGTCGAGATTAAGACTGGTTCGACAATCGATCTTCTTCGAGGGCAGCGCAGTCATCATGCGCAGAAAGTGTGGTAAGACTCTGGAATATAAGTAGGCAAGGCTGGTGCTACGCTTCTCGGTCGGCACTTATATAAGATGGCGGGGAGGGTTCGTGATCGACACTTATGCAGAAGAAGGTAGGATTATAGGACATATGTAACGAAGGCTGGTGTTACGTCTTGTTTTATAATGATAGAATCATAATCTATTCTATGATGGGCCGTCTATGGGGTCGTATGCAGCCGGTTCAGCTGTCATGTTACCTCCTATTTTCTATACTTAACTAACTGACGGGTACCTACACTATCTGACGTACGACGTAACGCACCACTCTCGCATCTTTACTAAAAACATGTGGTTTTGGGCGTGGTAAAGCTGGAAACTCCAAACTCACTTTCCAGGACGTACCCGTCCTTTTCCCTACTTCGTTCCACAACGACTGGAATGTAGTCTCATCATGCAGGAATATCCTGAAATGTTCCACCTCGCCTGGTTTATCGCTGCCTATATGCACCCCAAACAACAAAGCCGGACTTTCTGCGCTGGAATCCTGCCGAAAGAAACGCACAATGCGCTCGCAGATGACCAACTGCGACTCCCAGCTAAATAAGTGGAAGAAATTCGACGCATGTACGATGGACATCTTCCCGTCGAGCGTTCTAGCTAGAGAGCTGACCGCGTACTCTTCCTCAGGGAGCAGCATGTCTCCTGCGACAAAGGTCGCTTTCAAAGTCTCACGGTCGCGGAACTGTTCATACCCCAACTCGAGGAACTCGGCATGTAGGTCTGTTCCATACAGGCGCGCCGAGTCGACGCCCTCGAAAGCGAGCCGTCGAATCGTCTGGCATATGAAGCCCCCTATTTCGAGGAAAGTATCCTGCGAACCAGGCGCCTTGAGCCGCTCGATAGCTTTTTGCATTTCCGGCTCGTCATCGCTGAATTCGAGGAGGCGCAGGTAGGTAAAAGAACCGATGCAGGGGTACTTGACGACTTCCCAAGCCTTGTCTCGCTATGTGATATGAAGCGATGATGATTAGGAGAGACGGCCTTAGGTTAAAGAGCAATTGATTGGTACGGGGAGGGTGTTCTTCTCTTACAATCTTGAAGATCTCTGCTTCCACTTCGTCCGGAGGGATCTTACTATACTTTTCTAGAATCTCGCGAAATCGGCCGTATTCCCATGGGATCGTGTCCATATGCATGTCCTTTCTCCATGTATCGTCGTCTCCGGCGCCGAGCTGCTTTTCCGTTTCCTTGCCCCACTTCTGCGTGTTAACGGCGCTGGTGATGCTTGTCATGTTGCGATGTTTTGAGACTGAGCTGATGACTTGGGTACTTGTTAATTTGCTTGTGAAAATAAGGGGAACGGGGCTACTCTGATGGAGAGGGTTATTTTTATATTCTCTCTCGCTTTTGAAATACGTACGGCGTGCTTTTAATCACCGGGGAACACCGGAGCTTACGGAGATTTTCTGAGTCCTATCCCCCTCAACTGGCATAAGTTGTGATGATCCCTTGGGCCCTGGTAATCCGCGGAGTATAACGTAAGGAAGGCTCCACACGACTTATTGATATAAAAGGAAAAGACTAATAACGTAGGACCAGTTGTCATGTTTAGCTAGTGGAGGTGATGTCTTATGTCAATGCACAACAAAAGCCAAACCTATTGTGTAATTATGTTATACTAGATCTTATTTATGTAGTAATGGTTACGAGCATCCCTAAAGCTATACCTACCTACCTAAGTAACCTTCCCTAGTAGATCTCATTCTTAACTCATGGCAGTCATCTCTATCAAGGGAGTACTGTTTTATGTGTGATTGGGTAATGTCGAGCTACAGTGAGTGTTGCTTAATAATTAGAAGTATCAATATTAAACCCTACCCCCTTAACAAAATAGCTTCTTAATAAAGAATGTGATGTAGCGAAAGGTAAATTTTACACGCGGCTTGTAAATAAAACCTTAGGTTTAGGCACTCTGTCCTCCCCTTTTCTTTTTCTCGCTTTAATTAGGCCTTTCACATTCAGATCGACTAACCCTCTACTCACTGTCTTAGAGGATGAGGAGTTGAAGTGTACGGTACACTACTCGTAAGTCCTAATAACTCTAGGTTCATGGCTTGGAAGTCTAATTTGTGATGAATGACAGGTTTGATGAGATGCTAAAAGCAGCGGCGGAGTCAAGTGACAGTCTCAAAGAGCATCCGTTTGAATCGGACAGTACCCATTGCCCCTTCTATGCGAGACACGAACTTCCGGTCTTCGAGTACTACGCCAAGTACCCGGATAAAGCCGCGCGTTTTGCGAGGGCTATGGCTGGGGCAACTAGAATGGGCCTCCACATCAAGGAGCTACGAGACTGCTTCTCTTGGGAAGCGCTCGTAGGTACTGTTGTCGATGTCGGCGGTGGGAGCGGCCACATATCGATAGCTTTGGCCCGAGTAAGTATATTCAAATCCCAATCTGTCCCACCCCTGTTCTTCTCGATGGGTTACATGTGTATCTTACATTATTCTTCGTTCTAGTTGTTCCCGCACCTCAACTTCGTCGTACAAGATGGCTCGAACAACATGCTTGCCGAAGGCCGCGCGCTCCTGGCAGACGACGTCAGAGAACGCATCACCTTCGTGCAGCGCAGCTTCTTTGAGCCACAGCCTCTCCGAACAGATGATCCCGCAGCGGCATACCTATTCCGCCAGTGTACGCATAACTGGTGCGGTCGAGACGTCATAACCATGTTCCGATCCTTCGTTCCCGGACTGGAGTCCTCTGGGCCAGCGACGCCGCTATTAGTCAACGACATCATCATGCCTGAGCCCGGCGAAAAATGGCCACGGCTGCTAGAGCGGGATATTCGACAGATCGATATGATATTGATTAGCTACGGCGGCAAGCAGCGCTCCAAGACGGAATTTGAGGTGTTGTTGAAAGAGGCGGATGCGCGATATGAAGTCCACAAAGTGCATGCAATTGGACCACTCGGCTTGCTGGAGGTATATCTGTCAGGGTATAGTAAATCGGGGTGGCTACAGGCGCCATGTCTGGATATTTAATGCGATCTTCCTGTCGGTTACCTTATCTCGCTCTGTCTGCAGGACTGTATATCAGGTGATGTCCAGTGCGGTGCTACAGCAGAAGGATAAATTAAGCGGAGTTGCAGATGTAGGACTATCAATGAAAGAACCCCAATCCACTTGCCAATAAGCCACCTAGTTATGTGGCAACGTCACGACGAGAGTTCGAAGGATTCGTGTTTATTAGGGGGTTAGTCGCTGGAGGCGGCGTATATAAGACGACGGGACTCTTCTCAACGATCAATACTAGCTTTCGCTACTATCGAATTAGCAGCAATACTGCTAGTCTTACTTCATTTTTCTAGTGATCTTGATATCATGGCGACTTCAGCAAGTTCCAACGAAGAGCAAAAGCCCAATGCTGAGCTTGTGGCGATTGCGGGCATGGGTTAGTTCATATTTCACCTAAGCCGAATTCTAGATCAAAAGCCATAAGATAACTCGTGAAAGCTAACATTATCCAGGGTGCCGATGGCCCGGCGGCGTAGACTCGCCCCGGAAGATGTGGTCCTTCTTGCGGAACCAAGGCTCTGGCTTCCGCCCCTTTGACTCCGCATCTACGCCGCGATGCTTCTCAGCCGCCGGGTTCCACCACCCCAATCCGGGGCGGCCTGGCACGACGGCCACAGAGGGTGCGTTACTCGTCGACGGCGATCCACGGTTGTTCGACCACGCCTTCTTCGGCATCACGGGACGCGAGACTGAGACACTCGACCCTTCGCAGCGCAAGCTGCTCGAAGTGGTATATGAGGCGTTCGAGAATGCCGGTGAGACGTGGGCTTCCGTCGCTGGATCGAACACGGGAGTTTTCGTCGGAAACTTCGCGCTAGACCATTGGACAATTCAGACGCGTGATTGGGATTATCCCAAGCCGTATTCGACAACAGGGGCGAGCGCGAGCGTATTGGCAAATCGAATCAGCCATATTTTTGATTTGCGAGGACCGAGGTATGGAATCTTGAATAGTGCCAACTTCCGTTATCGTCTTGCAAGTTATCTTGATTGCTAAATATCGAGATTTTAATAGCGTCACCGTTAACACGGCTTGTTCTTCGTCCATGTACGCAGTGCACTTAGCTGTCAGCGCGATCCGCAACGGAGATTGTGACTCGGCTATCGTAGCAGCATCGAACTGGATCGCGGATCCTAGCCTACACCTCGCACTCGATAAACTGGGAGCTCTCTCTCCTACCTCAAGGTGCCACACGTTCGACGCGTCTGCTGACGGATATGCCCGTGGCGAGGGATTCGCTGCGCTGTATCTTAGACGGCTATCGGTGGCAGTTACTAGCGAGTCACCTATCCGTGCTGTGATCAGGGGCACCGCCGTTAACGCAAACGGTCGCACCGGCGGAATTACGCGCCCCAGTGCTGCTGGTCAGGAGGCTGTTATCCGTAAAGCATACGAAAACGCCGGGCTCCCGTTCTCGGATACCACGTATATCGAGTGTCACGGTACGGGCACCCAAGCAGGAGATCCGATTGAGTTAGCGGCCGTAAGCCAGGTCTTCTCGTCTGGTGGGGGTCCAGAGGCAGATAGTCCCGGGCCTCTATTCGTCGGCTCCGTCAAGACCAAGATGGGTCACGCCGAGGGGGCAAGTGCTCTGGCGGCCATTATGAAGATTGTGCTCTCTCTAGAATCAGGCGAGATCCCGCCAAACGTTGGTGTTAAAGTATTAAATCCAAACATTGATTTTACCAAGGCTGGAATGGAGGTTGCTAAGGAGGTTATAGCTTGGCCCGAACACAGACCCCGTAGGGCTAGCATTAACTCATTCGGCTTTGGAGGCGCTAATGGTCACTGCATTATCGACCATGTCAGTGTGCTCTCTCTCGATCGCGTAAGATCTAGTCTTCGTGTGAACTTCAATTCTGAGGCCGATGGTCACACCCTCGATGGTCATGGTTATGGTGCAATCCATAATGTCTATATGCCCATTGATAACCGCCGAGGTCTCAACGGAAATGAAGAACAGAATCGGGAAGAACGAATCCATCACCATCATCCTATCATCAACGCTCCGAGCATGACAAGGACTACCAACGCGACTACTCGGCAACTCGTGTTACTCCCCTTCTCCGCACATAACAAGTCTTCTCTTCAGCTTAATATAGACGCCCTTTCGCTTGATATATATCAGCATCGACTTTCAGATGTGGCTTACACACTCAGCGCCAAGCGTTCCAACCTGTCATATAGGACCTTCCGCGTCGTGAACAGGGACAATCTCGTTCCGGGTTTACTCGGCGTGGAAAGCAAGTTAGGCATACAAACAAGCCCAACCCATCAACAAGATCAGCGGCTAGCAAATGTAGCATTTGTGTTCACCGGCCAAGGAGCCCAATGGCATGAAATGGGTCTGCAACTTTTCGAGTACCGCGTATTCTGCACCGCTATCGAGTATCTCGATTATATCCTAAAGTCACTACCGAGGCCTCCGTCTACATGGTCAATCATCGAGGTCCTTAAGGACAATTGTGACCCGGGAATTATACAGACGCCAGCGGTATCCCAGACCGTCTGCACGGCAATCCAGATCGGGCTAGTTGACTTGCTCGCCTCGTGGTCTATCCGCCCCGTTGCCGTGGCCGGCCACTCGTCGGGCGAGATAGCTGCAGCGTACGCTTCAGGACACGCTACGGCCGCAGACGCCATCGTAGCGGCGTATCTACGTGGTCAGGCTATCATGAATAATAAGCAGGAAGGGGTAATGCTGGCCGTAGGCCTCGGGCCGGACCAGCTTCGAGATTCGGGATACCTACATGATCAGAATCCTAGAGATGGTCAAATGCAGATTGCCGCCGTAAACTCTCCATGGAGCGTCACCGTGTCCGGGGATGCGCCGGCTGTCGAGGCGCTTGCTGCCCGTTTGAGCGTCGACGGGATCTTCAACCGTTTATTGAAAACGGGAGGCATCGCGTATCATTCACATCACATGATTGCGCTGGGTCAGGAGTACGAAGAGATGCTTTTGCGTGGATTCCAGCATATAAGGCAGTCCGGGTTGGTTGACGAGCAGAAACGATATCCTCGTGTTCCGTGGGTGTCGTCCGTTACCCCTGAGAAAGATCCACCATCGAGTATCGCTAGTAGTGCTGCGTACTGGAGAGCCAACCTCGAGTCACCAGTTAGATTTTCTGATGCCGTTTCAAATCTGATCAGACAGAACGCAGACTGTGCGCTTGACCATGACCCTATCAAAGTACTAGTTGAGATTGGGCCTCACTCAGCACTAAAAGGGCCACTAGAGCAGATCTTGAAAAGTATGAACCAGACCCAGATTGCGTATGCCGGCTCTACTTTGAAGAGAGGCGAAGACTCCCGCAAATCGATCCTTCAGCCCGTTGGGGCACTCTATTGTCTCAACGCTCGGACTAATCTGGTTGCCGTCAACGCGGTCGACAACGACGATGGCCGCTTGTATGGAGACGAATTAAATGATAAATATGATCTCATTCATGGGTGCACCGCGGTTGACCTCCCGCCATATCAGCATACATATGGGCCAATAAACTATTATGAGTGCCGCTCAAGCAAAGAATACCGTCTCCAGAAAGTCCCACGACACGACCTACTCGGTTCCAAGGTCCCCGGCGTTGCGAAGTTAAGACCTCAGTGGCGGAACGTCCTGCGTGTGAAGGACTTGCCTTGGCTAAGTGACCATCGATTATTGCCAGGTAAGCCGGGACATCCTTAATATTATTAATTTTGATCTTCGTTCGGTTCTAAGGTTTAATCATATCTCTAGATGCGGTTTTCCCTGCCGCAGGGTATATTGCCATGGCTATAGAAGCCGCACTGCGTACTTATGAGGAGTATCCCCAACCATGCCCCAAGCCGACGGGCTACGCGCTACGCAATGTTTCGATCAACACGGCCCTAAGGATACCGGAAGATGACGATGGCGTTGAAGTCATTTTAAGTATGGAGCTCGACGCTGCTCCGACGGCATCGACTTCGTGGGCACGCTTCTCCATCAGCTCTGCCGGACGGGCTGATGTCGATTCCATCGATAGTACGTGGACTGAGCACTGCACCGGGGTTGGCAAGGTAGAAGGCGGAAGCTTGTATGATAAGGCCGAGAAGATCGATACATCATCCATGGATGCCCGCCTAATCGATGCACGGTCGTGGTATAAGACCTTCGCAGCTATCGGACTTGGATACGGCTCTACATTCCGGGCAGTCACAAACATTCGTGCCGACCCAGATATGAAGCTTGCCTCCGCCACCGTAGCGCTCAACACTACGAAAGGTATAGTCCAGGGGGGCGAGTCAAGATATGCAATTCACCCGGCAGCTCTTGACGCTGCTTTTCAACTCGGGCTTATTTCCTGTTACGGGGCCGTGTCGAAACCGCTACGACTGCCTTCGTGCCGGTTCATTTTCCCCGAATATATATCAAGAATGGGATCAACGACGGAGATCGTGACGTCGCCGAGACCGTCGCACTAGGTGAATTCCGCGGCCTCAGGGGCGCGTATATAAACCAGTTACAGATGCTAGGACAAGACGGCGATGTGGTTCTCGATATCGAAAAACTCCGGTGTATCAGCTATATTGGCGAGGCACAGATCAGCGATCAGACTAAAAGTGGTACGCAGCCGGCATTCAGTGCCCCTTTTGCACGGATGGTATGGAAGCCCGACTTTCGCTCCCTGAACTACCAGTCATGTCGTACGCTATTCCCCCCGCCTATGGAAAACGTAGATCGTCTTGATTCCATAGAGAAGCTGAACAAGATGGCCTGCGCCATCCTTGTGGACGTGGATGAAACATTTGCGAAGGGCAACGATAAGGTCATACCATCCCCTACACCGTCGGGGAATGTAGGTCACTTTTTTGCGTGGATCAAGCGGTGCGTCGAGGGAGCTGAAATCTCCGGGATAGCCGAGGCTAAACAACTGTCCTCCTGGGAGCGGCGTAAAACAATTAACCAGCTCTACCTCGAAACCAAGGAGACCCCCGAGGCCCAGATAGCCAAACGGTTACATGAGAATATGGCCGATGTTCTCTTTGAGCGCCACACTGGTATCGACATTATAGTCCATCGCAGCGATAGTATTAACCTCCTATCGGAACTATACCAGCGCGGTATCTTCATGACAAGCGCATACCCGCAGCTCTCGCGAATCCTAGATAGTCTAGCCCACGCGAACCCGCACCTACGCATTTTGGAGCTTGGTGCTGGGACCGGCGGCGCCACGCGTGTTGCCATGAAGGCGCTCACGGGACCCAACAGTATTAAGCGCTACCGTGAATACGTCTTCACCGACATCTCGCCTGGTTTTCTAGCTGCAGCACAGGCATCTATGGTCGAATTTCACGATATCAGCTACTCTGTCCTGGATATAGAGGCGGATCCCGCAGTGCAGGGCTACCTGCCTGTATACGACGTTGTTTTGGCCTCGCAGATTTTGCACGCAACGGCCAGCATCTCGGAAACACTCAAAAATTGCCGGAAACTTCTCAGGCCGGGAGGAAAGCTTCTATTGGTGGAGACCACCAAAACGGACAGCGTAATCATCGGGCTCATCTCAGGCACATTGACTGGATATTGGCACGGAATACCCGACGGTAGGGTAAACGGCCCATACGTAAACTTGGAAACGTGGGATCAAGCCCTAAAAGGGGTGGGCTTCTCCGGTACTGAAATGGTGTTGGATGACTACCCTCGGCCGAATAATGTGACAACTACCCTAGTCTCAACGCTTATGGAGATTGATAGCGCACACTGGAAGAATAAGAAAACAAACGGAATCTTAGCAGGTACCGAAGTTCAACTTCTTCACAGCCTTAAACAAAATCCGCCGCTTCTTAGTAGGCTCCAACATGAGTTAGAACAGTGTGGCATAACGTCCCGAACCGCATCACTCGACCAAGCGTCAAAGATAATATCGCCAGACGCCCACGTAGTGGTTTTCCTGGACGGCGAGAAAGACTTTCTTCTCGATACCGAAGGACATCACCTTGCCACGTTTCAACACCTCGCGCGCAATGCAGCAACCTTGATCTGCTTAACGTTCTGTGGGTTTTCAAGAGGTCGAAACCCCGAAGGAGCGTTAATCCCCGGACTATTACGGACGATTGGGACAGAAAACCCTGCGAATCGATTTATCTCAATCGATATTTCTGTCGAGGATTCCGGTCTTGCCACATATGACTCTGGAGATCTCACTCGCTGCGTAGTGGACCAACTTTTCCCGCTACCTAGTGAACTTCAAGATGACGAAGAGAGTGAAGATCTTCGAACGAACGACTGCGAGTACGTCTGGCAAGACGGCTGTCTCTGGGTCAGCCGGGCTGTACCTGATGACACTCTTCGGTCATACGCAGAAACATCTCCCAATGAGAGCCGAGACCAATATAGCGAGACTTTGTCGTTGCAGCCGCTCGATAGCCAAGGTCCCATTCGGGCAGTATTCTCTAAGCCTGGCCTGCTCAGCTCTTTATACTATCGGCCCTACAAAGAGCTATTATCACCAATACCATCGAATTACATCGACGTCAAAGTTGCAGCAGTGGGCCTTAACTGGAAGGATCTCGCCATCTCGTCTGGCCATTTTGACGCCGAAAATCTGTCGTCTGAATATGCTGGCATCGTGACGGCCGTGGGTGCCGACGCGGCTAGCTCGTTTTGCGTCGGCGACCGCGTATACGGCGTGGGCCGCGGTCACTTCGGGAACTACACTCGTGTCCCGGCCGCGTTTGCGCAAAAGCTAAGCGCTCAAGATAACCTCGTCGAAGTTGCGACTATGCCCTTGGTGTATATGACAGCTGTTTACGCGTTTGACTACGTTGCTCGATTACGACAGGGGCACAAGGTCCTTATCCAGTCCGCCACTGGCGGACTCGGGCTCGCAGCCATTCAACTTGCGCGGGCGAAGGGTGCCGAGGTCTTTGCCATGGTGGGCACGGTAGAGAAGGCGGATTTTTTAATCCGAGAGATGAAACTACCAGAATCGCACGTCATTGCCGTCGCATCAAGAGACAGCGCATCTGCTCTAGATAAAAAGCTCGCTCGTATGACGCCCCACGGCCGTGGCTTCGACATAATACTTAGTACGGCTCGAGGAGATGTATTGCACGCGTCCATCGAAGCACTGGCACCGCTAGGTCACCTAGTCGATGTGGGACGTACCGATGTGCAGGAATCCAAGGCTTTAGGGATGGAGCTTTTCGGCAAGAGTGCTAATTTCTCCTCGTTTGACCTCTCACTTGTTCTCGACGCTGACCCCGCGCTCGGCAAGGAGTTAATGCAAGCCGTCCATAGATATTATCGAGATGGGCTTATTAGGCCCGTTTACCCATTCTCGGCCACTGACGTATCCAAGCTTGACCAGGTCCTGTTAAGGTTCTCTAAGGGTACGCATCTCGGTAAACTGGTGGTGACGTTTCAGGATCCACAGACACAGGTTAAGATGCTCCCAATATCGTCCCGGCAGCATGTCCAGTTCGACCCCGCGGCATATTATATCGTAGTGGGAGGATTCGGTGGCCTCGGAAGATCCATTATCAGATGGATGTGCCAACGCGGAGCTCGCAACTTGGTAGTCTTATCCAGACGTGGATTAGAGAAAAGTTCCTCTGCAGCACAAAACCTCGTAAACACACTCGGTCAACGTGGTATCAATATTCAACCCTTGACATGCGATATCAGCGACCGGTCTCAAGTAACGCGCCTTATAGAAAATATCTCATTAGTCTCCCCAAATACCCCCGTCAAAGGTATTATTCACGCCGCTGTCTCCTACCTCGACCTCTCTTTCGATAAACTGACCGTCCAGCGATGGCGCGACAGCCTAGCTGCTAAGGTTCAGGGGAGCAAGAATCTGCACGAAGCGACCCTATCTCTCCCCTATGGACAGCTAGACTTCTTCGTCATGATCACCTCACTTGAGTCCATCTGCGCCTTGGCCACGCAGAGCGCATACACGGCCGCCAACGCATTCCAGGATTCATTTGCGAAGTACCGCCGACGTCTCGGCATGCCCGCAACGAGCATATCATTAGGATTAGTTAAGGGTATCGGCGAGCTGGGTCAGGACTCCATCGCAGTGGATATGTTTGCGCGGAACAAGGGTCTGACGCTCTCTGAGGGGGAGTTCCTTGCCCGGCTAGAACCGGCATTTCTCAACAATGGCCTGGCCAGCAACAGTGGCGACGATGATGGCTATGGCGACAACTGGATTGGCCAAGCCGAGGACCCGTCTTCTGCTTCCAATATCCTCACTTGTATAGACCCGGCTGCAATGGCGGCTATGGAGCGTGACGAGGACGAAGCACGAGACGCAGACCCGGCCCGGCCGTCAAGGAGAGCCATCCCTCGCTGGTATGGCGACGGACGCGTTTCGCTAATTATACGCGCTTTCGAGGATGCGCGACGAAACCAACACATAAATAAATCTTCGGACACCGGGGCGGCAGCAGCGCAAGGAGGAGACGATAACGCCAGTAAGTCATCCATCAGTCGCATCCGCCGGCAATTCGATACAGAGGTCACCGCAGAGGCCCCGGAACGTGCCAAAATAGTTGGATTTGTCACAAGCGCCATCTCGACGGCCGTAGCCGAGATGCTCTTCGTAGACGTCTCGAACACTAATCCGGGGCGGTCTGTGGCTGACCACGGCGTCGACAGCCTGATCACGGCAGAACTGCGAAACTGGTTTCACCAGGCGCTAGGGGCGAAGATAAATACGCTGGAGTTACTGGACGCGAGGTTGAGTATTGCGGCGCTGGCGGATAGAATTGTAGATACAGCGTTAGCTAAGAGGCATGATGTACAAGAGGGTAAGTGAGGAATACATACAGATAGGATGGATAGACAAGAAGAAGTCATTCTATATCGTAAAACTTGACTGCGTATAACTCATTGGCACTCTTTTGAAAACCAAACTCCTAACGTTACGGCCTTCGAAATATATACACAGCCTGAGCGCGCGGCCATGCCTTACCATTATATTTTTTTGGAAGAGATGTCGTGGTTTTCATTCGTCTACTCCCAGCTAAAAGATAACTGAGGTCGCTAGATAGTGCTGATAGGAGTCGAACCCAAATCCACCTATACCTCAACTCTCCCTATTCCTTGCGGGAGATATTGGCTAGAATTGTAGATGGTATCTAGAGTCTCTCAGTCACCGGCCTCAGTAATTTAAAATTAAATTCCTTTGCGAAACAGCGAAGTTGTTTCCATGCTTTCTAGATCCATCCCGTGATATTAACCTAATAGATGAATATTGAAGCGAGCTGCCGAATTCAAGTAATATCATCTGGCTTGGAAGTTATAGCAGTATATTGCCGATCTTGTAAACATTTCGTTCGGTCTAGAGATAATCTGAGCAACGTTACCATGAACTCCGGGACCTTCGGGCTCCCGAAATTTGGAAAAAATCCATGATAGGTATACACGATTCCACGTCGTGAAATGCCAAAGTCCATAAGAAGGAGTAAATCTGTACCGTTTGAAGAAATCATGGACTTATTATAATATGGTACCGTAAAAGCATTCAAGCCGGAAAGAATTCCGACATATAAGCCTGATAAAAGTTCCGAGCTATGACATGGCTAGATTCCCGGCTAGATATTTCGGGTTAGACTAGCATGGATGTATGAGGAAGAACGGGACTTTTGAACGGTCCTTTTGTTTCGCAAATGAGAGCTTCCTAGGGGCGCCTTTGATTCGTTGGATATCGTATTCTCAACGAATAGGAGAAGAACGTCCCATGTCGGGTTATGTTAGCGAAGCAGCGCATAGATTTGCTGGTGAAAGCATCTGCATCGCGTTGACCAAAATGTGGGAGTAAGGGGGAAAAGGCCGTTAAATGAAACTAATCGCATGAATTCTGGAAGGAATCTGCGCGTGCTACATAGAAGCCAAGTCTGAAAGTCGAAAATTAGTCCCTCGCAGATGTCCGTAGCGGTCCCACAACCCGCTACCTATTGCTATCCTGGTTCTAGTGTAGATCGTGAACCCGGTCGCTGATAAAATACCAAATATTCCTTGGCGCTCCGCGATCCTGTCCCTGGTCTTTAAGCCATCAAGCGTCTTCTCCAACGTAGCATCAGAAGCATATATACTGAAGGAGTACATCTTAAATAAGTTTTTGTTGCTGGAATATGTTTCGTTTTATAGGTCTGATACAGCGGTCAGAAATTCTTTAACTACCCCCTATATATCCGAGATGAGTAGCAGTATTCGAAGCTCGATCCTTAAGCATTGGAGAAATAGTAGTATCTCTCTTGGTCGCAGCGGAAGTAAGAAGGAAAAAGGCGAGGATAAAACTGCAAAGAGACAGTCCACCCATGTCGTTGTCACCCCTCTCAGCACGACCGAGTCTCCCGAATCACTAGCAGAAGTAATGGACACCGAAGTCCACGAGAAGCGAATAGATACTAGTGCAACGACAATGAGTGAGGCAACACTCCCGTCAAAGGGCATTAGCCTCCACATAACAGTACACATTGCACCCGAGAACGTCGAGAGGTTTTTGGTTGCATTCAAGGCTATCTTCGACAGCGTGGCCGCCGAGCCCGAATGTCTTTTCTTCGAAGTTTATAAATCCGTAGAAGAGCCTGGGAAGTTAAGCTGGATCGAAAACTGGTACGCCACCACCCTAAAAGATGTTGAGAATATGTATTAACCAGATGATAGGTCAAAGGATATACAATGGTTCCTAGAGGTCAGTCTCCGTTGCCTTACCCCAGAGCAAATGAATGGGACAAATAAGAATCAAACCTAACCTGTGTCAAAGCACCAAATAACCAAGCCGTACTACAAGGAGTACCTGGAGTTTACCGAGCCCATGTTTATTAAGCCACGGGAAGCTCGCATCTTGGAACCCCTAGGTCCCGAATTCTCTATGGTTAAGGGGGGCTGATGGGGGCTTTGATATTAGTTCAGTTGTAGTTTGACCACGACGATAATTCACGCCGATGATGCCATACCATATTTAATACCCGCATCTGAAGATAGAAATTCTTAATCACTCTGGGTCGAAGGGGCACGAAGGGGTTCTGATAATATGTGCAAGGCTAAAAGTATTTGCCTAGTAATGTATAATGAGGTAGCGAGCGAAGAACCAAGCTACTTATTCCTCTTCTCCTACGATGAAGATTCCAAGTACTCGAAGAAACGTGTGTAAGCAATGCCCACGAGACGAGTTCCCAAACGATAGCGCAGAAGCATTGTCGCCGGTCCCGCCTCGGCTGCAACACGCCGTCCCAAGCGATGGCGTAGAAGCACTGTCGCTGGCGAGTCTTTGGTCGAGGCTCTCGAATGACAGCGTATCCAAAACACAGATGGGGTATCATATGAATGCGCCAAACCCAAAAAAGCAAAGAAATTTCCAGAAAAGCATTAAAACAAACCTCTTATGGGCGTGTTTCGTATCAAGAAGTCGTAAAAAGTTAGGTAGAGTTGAAGCGAAAGGTATAAATGACAGGTTGAACTGCCCAGATCACGAAGAGCAAGTAGTTTCTGATGGCTGTACTGCTAGTTGTTGAAGGTCACAGCGGAGAATAGCTCATCTCCGAAGTATAGTGGAGTATGCAACTACGTTCTCTTCCGCCACCACATGCGACCGAACCCGCGTTGCTGAAGCTCACGGCGGGCCGCGCCGTCTGGGAAGCCATCCACGCTGTCAATTTTGGAGCTCCCACTGCTACCAATTTTATGGCTGGGATTGTTACCAACGATTTTTAGAGCGACGAACATGACGATGCTGCTGAGGATGCTGACGCACAGAATACCAATCATAACCAAGTTGCTTCGGCGATACTGGTGAGGCCCGGGAGCGGCATCTGCCGGCCAACCTGTATATAGCGCATAGGTCGTCGTAATGCTACCGAGGTTTCCAAGGCCCGAGACTAATGCTGACGCAGCAGCTACACCGACCTCCCCGTGACGCTGTTGGAATATCTCATTGGTCCAAGTCATACAGATAGGAACCGTCGGACCAAGGCCGAAGCCCACCATGAGAAGACCTCCATACCTCGCCCAAGGGTTCCAGGTAGGAGCAAAGGTAACAGTGAGAAGGCCGGCAATTTGGATACATACGGCACAAGAGAAGAACACGGGACGTAAGCGGTGGAATCGATCCGAGATAGGAGTGACGAGAAGAATTGCGAAAAAGTCCATCTATTGATGTTAGAAACCGAGGGGCATATATCTGGCAAGTGTAGACTTACGATCCAAATAGGGGCGAAGAGAAGACTGAGCTGTACCCCAGTGAATGATGGATTGATGCCACGGATGATCACCGTACCGTAAAGTTGAGTCCCGATCCCGACTCCCACCACGCCGAAATACATAAGAGTAAGCGGCCAAAGCCTCCAGTCAATCAGGACATAACCTAGATCCTTGAGAGTCCAGGGTCTTGAGTGATAGACTCGCTTGAGGTCTTCGTAATGAACTAGAGCATCTTCACCCGTCAGAGCTTCAGGGGTTGGAGGAAGCCATTTTATGAAACTCGAGCGCTCCCTTCGTTCTCCTGGAGGTAGCGGACGATCGGGTAGCCACCATAGTAGAGTCCAACCAAGGACGATAGCAAGAAGCCCATAAATAAGGAACATCCACTGGAAACCAACCAGGCCACCAACGCCGTCCATCAGTTGGAATCCCGCGGATACTAAGCCTACGACGGCGGCCGAGATCTGAGAGGCTGTAAAATACATTCCGATTCGTTTACCAGTCCGAGAAGGGGGGTAGAAAAGAGTTAAGTAGTAAGACATTCCAGGCCACATGCCGGCAATCACCATACCAAGCAGGAATCGTAATAGTCTTATGTGCCAACGATTAGCACCCTAGGCTAACTCGAGGAGAGAGGAATTGAGATAATATTAGACTTACTTCAAGCTCCAAGCAGCCTGGACGGCAGCAAAACAAGCCCCTATTACGCCCACGGCAAAAACGATTCTAGCCATCCAAACACGAGGGCTTAGCTTGCTCATGATGAGATTGGACGGGCAATCAAAAATGACATAAGATACATAGAAGAGGGCCAATGCAGTGGAAACATCGTTAGACGAAAGCCCAAGCATCGTCATTAAATCATGTCCGACGTCCGAATTCATCGTCTGCGCCAAGCCGATGTTAGAGCGTATGGCAGAGCAGAGGAAGTATAGGATCCAGAAAGCTACGGCTGGGTCAGCTTAAGAAGCTATCAAAGAATGATCGGTGATCTTACCCGGAATGATGCGGAGATCTAACTTCCTATAAACTGCCTCTACTCTCTCGATATCGTACTCCACGGGAGCAGGCCGGCCTCCTTCTAGCTGAGTCCCTGCTTCGTGATCTGCGTTGATCATTACGGGGGTCTTACCCCCCTCCGCAGCAGTATCGTCGGCCATACTTCAACTGTGAAGCAATGGAAGCGCGTGCTACCAGTCTTTTCAAGCCACGAACTCGAAGCGTCCAAATAAGATATGCTTGTCTAATCTCGGCCTTGTCCAAGATAGACTCTGAGATAGACTGATTACCCTTGACGTAAGTCCAGTCCGTATTATAATTGCCGTAACCGAATACTTGAGGAGGAAAGTAAGAAATGTTTGAGTGAAGAAAAAAAAATTGAGCAGAAAGGTAAACGAGATGACGCTAGAAGCTTAGGTATGTAAGAACTGTTGATTCGTTGAGTTAAATACAGCCAATAAGGTAGTCGCTTGATGAGGAATATATGGGGCACCAGCCCCCTGCTCTACATAGAGATCACTATCTAACTGTAAGAGGATAGTCTAAACTCTATTACAGCGACACTCAGGTTGCAGGTTGTACGATGTAGACAGTATAAAATTTTATTATGAATTGGCTTAAAGTTTTAACGATAAAGTAAGATTACAAGCCGTCCAAATAATGTGATATGTCGTAACTAAACCCGCTAGCTGTGGCTAGGCGATACTTCCAGTACTTACAAGACCTCAAACAGTCGGCAGTAGGCGAGATATAGAAACGTGCATGTGGCTTAGATATATTCAAAATAAAATAATAATACGATTCTCTAGCTAGAACTTCTCTTCTTGAGTATCAAAATATTAACATATCTATAGCCCCGTGCTCTAATTGACTCTAGTGAAGAAGGAGAGGAAATAAACTGCGATCATTAGTTGGGGGGTCCCAAAACTGTCACTTCTTTCACACTGGTATTGTGATATCGTGTTCATACATCGTTCTTGCACGGCAAAGAGATTGTTTTTCCAACGCGGCACAGGCCTATACCGACAGATCTTGATAGCAAGAACCCCCCTAACATTTTGCATTTTAGAATGCATTTTTACATCATGAGCATCATATCCTCTTCGTCAGAAGGAAATTAATAAAGTTTGATATAAATCTCACGAAATCAGGCACCTTGAATAAGCTCTGTGTAATCTTTTTGGTCAAAAACGGTCTGGTTCTCACCAATTGTTCTTCGAGAAGGTTTGTTGTTCGTGTTCATGAAGTTACATCGTGTATGATCTTCTTTGAAGAACAGGAGCGTAGTTTCTATTTCATTATTTTATTGGTTTGGTGTTTGAACCCCCAAAGTGTTGTAGTGTTTTGACGGTTTGGCGGGTTTCGCCTTATCGCCCGCCGTCGTTTCAAAGAAGACCGTGTAAGATTCAATTTGAAAAAACTATATAATGCCGTATAGTCCGCATGCTTTTTGCTGCTGGAGAACTCCTTGGGTGATATCCTATCTTGGAAAATCTTAGCCTGAATCTTACGTACTTTCCGAATCTTCTCGCCTATATTGAATTTTATTGGCAATGTGTTGGGTCAGAAAAACACTCCACCTACTCTGCAAGCATGAGAGTATCACCTATGAAGTTGAAAACACCTGTGCTGGTGCAGGAGGAGCTTATTGCTTTCAGAAGGTAAAAGGTCCGGCGCGTCAGGTCAACACTAAATGTTTAAATTGCCTGCGGAAAGAAGCACACGTGGAAAAGCTTTCTAATGATAAAGAAAGTCCAGTGAGCGAGAAGGATTTACTCCTCGAGGAATTCAAACGGAATACACGACACTAAGGGGGTATCAAGAGGGCGGCCCGCAATTAGCAGGCTTCTATGGATTGGCCACGCCCTCCCCGGTTCAGCAAGGTCTGAACATGATAGGTCATCTTGCCTCTGAGAGATAACCTTGTTGATTCGTCAGCTATAACAGTATCAAGGATACTATCTTCAGCATTATCAGCCACTATCCGTTCCATTATCAGTCACTATCCGTTCTTAAATTCAATGACCCGTGTACTCCTGGATCGTTCTACCGACCAACCTACCGCTAACCCTTTTCGTATTCCAGTCGACAGGATACTATAGAGTAACGAAGCCTCGTGAGCTCTAAGAGATATAACGCCGTGCTGGATGGCTTGGAATCACACCTTGAAGCCAATGTAGGTACGTCTACTGGATGCTGCATTAGTTAAGTCAACGAGTGATATGCAACGCGCTCAACGGGGGCTACCTCACTACTCGCATCATGACCGGCTTCTTCGGCCAGCTAGACGCCAAGTATTACTATATTTAGCTCGTATCCAGGTTCCCGGAAACCCGATCAGAGCCTCATAAGATTTGGTGGATACCAGCAACATAGACATCTCTCGGGGAAGACTCGGGGTGTGCTAGCGGCTAACGACACTGTGGGTCATATTATTCAAGATATCGGCATCCGAACCGAGGCGGGTGTCACGATGAGACCTTCCGATGGCAGAGCGACGAAGCTGTGGTGTAACTAGTTACAACTCCAACTACACAGGACGGCAGGTTCGCACGGTCACCAAACACGAGGTCAAAATCCACCTAGGTAGGGTGGGCATAGTGCCTACCACAGAGTACACGTGGTTATTCATCTTGTAAAGTAGAATAGAATAGCTTATCTTAATTCATAATTTATAATCTTTCGCTCAGTTCCTCTAAAAACATCTTCTCTTCGGGCGATAAATACATACCGTCCGGAATAGCCACATGCCCTCTTGTTATAATCACCTTTGACGGCTCTATAGCAATTCTCCCTTCTTCCATATGTCGTGTTGTAGTAATCCCAAGTTTAGTTCCATTATCACTGCCGCTATCGCTGTTGCTGCTCTTCCCATCCGGTATTTGGTGCTGTTGTTGTTGTTGTTGTTGCTTCTTCCTGCGGCCAACCTCCGCTGGGGTCCACCAATAAACTGGGAACCGCCTCTGGATATTATTCAAAAGTAAAGCCACACACTGCATCAACGCGCAGCCAAGCAGGACAACGGGCAGCAAGAACCAGCCTAGATGCGCTACCTCTTCATCAACTACAGCGAGTAGAGCCGTGGCTCCCGCAGGCGGATGCACAGTGCCAGTTAGAGCCATAAATGCGACCGCACAAGAGCAGCTCAGCGAGCCGGCGACCCAAGTAACCTCATGTGACATAGGTCTTAGCGCAAAAAGTTTCCTGATGGCAATACCTATCAAGGATGAAAAGAACTGGCCGAGGACAACATTGCGAGGCTGCGAGAGAGGAGACTCGATGGCGTAGAATTCGAGAACCGCAGCGGCGCCCTTGGGTTAAATGTTAGTCAACTCCCCCCTGTAAACTAAGATGAGACAGATCTCAGAAAAATAACCGGTCGGAACTCACAAAACTGCCGATAATGATAGGAGCACCGTGCTCCTCAAAAGAGGGGATTGCATGGCCCACCGCTTCGATCATGGTTAGGGAACAGAAAACTCCAATAAATGCCCAAAAAACCATTGCGATGTTTCCTAGCGGTCGCTGATGCTCTGGCCGATAGCCCAAGAAATGGGCGACGGGATACGGAAGACGTTTCCATGGCGCAGCTGGTATCCATGGATTAAGGTACTGGTCGATTTCGAAGTGCCATTTTGTCGGTTGGGGAGGCATTTGTGTCCCAAGCAGGCTAATCGGGGGATTGTTGGAGTGGGTAGCGTTTAGGTATCAAGAACGCGAAGCCAAAAAAGATTTCATTCAGTACGGTGAGAAGATAGTAGCGACGACGACCCGCCAACACGGAGGCGTGTCGGCGGCAGGTAGATCGTATTTATCAACTCGGGATGTCGTTGGCGCCAGTGGCATTTTACCTTTTAATTTTCTTTCTCATTCCATAGGTGGTGGTGAATGGTGTCATGGGTAAAGCAGCAGACGAACAAAACTAAGGCGAACCAAGAGATTGGAACCAAGAGGGATGTTTACAGTTGCTGCAGTTGGTGACTAACATATTCAAGGTTCGCCAGGGATAATTGAGACACGATGACCAATTGGTCGTCCACCTGGCGTCATATTGGGTAAGGGAAATTCCCAAAATGGATCAGTCCAACGCGCTGGCCCAAGGTAACACGGGCGCTCCCTGACTCCGTCTTCCGAATGCCGAATAAGTGGGTCTTTCTCCGGACGAGATATCTCCGCGGAGCACCCCCATCTCTTTTTATATAGGCAAATTCCTGCCCCAAGTATCCGGACAAAATTTGAAGGCCGAACTAAGCCAACGTAAAGATTTCATTAAGGTAGACTTGATAAGCAATATGATGTATCAAGGAATTAGACGCACCGAGATTCGCGACTCTTGTTGTAGAAAAGGGATTGATTTAGGGGCTTGGGGGGAAAAGGGAGGGCGCTCAGTCAGCACTCATAATCGTCGGCCAACGACAAAAATAAAGAAGGATGAAAAATCAGAAATGAGGCTTATGGATGAGAATTTACCCCTTAGCTCAGAGGCACTCTACCGTCACGGAGTTAGCTCCAGTAACTTAGCTCATTCTATTACGTAATCAACTAATCTACTATTTAGCAATCTCTAAACTATCGGTAGCAGAGCTCGTTTCTAATTCCCAAATCAACACTTTCATACATTTATATCTTATGCACCTTATATGACTGATCGTATTTCTACATGAATTCTATCCTGCAACAAGATTTTATGAGGTTAAATTATCGATAATAATTTACAAGAGTGCAATGTTATACATACCTGTCGAACAAACCGAATTATAATGCGTTCAGTTCGTATCATCTAAGTAAAACTGACCCTGCATCATATGATAGCTTTGTTTTACATACTTCAATCTCCGTAACATCTCGTAACACCTTGCTCTGCTCTGGTAAACACTACTTTCGCGCTAGAATTTGAAGAGTATAACAAATATAACTGTCAGGGTGGCTACAGGGGTCTATACGAGTATATAAGAGGCGCAAAGCGCCCTCGTCAGAGGTTAGAAGGCCAGGCGTTACTAAGTTCAATACAATCACTACTTGGTCTACTACCCTGTACACTCACTCTATGCATGATTCACCTCACTAGGGCAACCAATCCTGACAATAACGAATGCTTAGATACACAGTATCTGTATAAGTCAATGAGCGCTCCTCACTCCCCAAAGCAAAATAAACCGCCCATCTTCGAGCTCACTCCAATATTTAGTATCAATACAACAAAACGCCAGCGTCTTCGACATATAAATACATATAGGGGTACATCAGTAGTATCATGTTCTAGTATCCATAGGGCTAGGGCCGTAATAGCGCTTGGTGGTCGAATCAATCACCATAGGCGATGATCCATAATATCGCCCACCAGTTGAATCAATATTCATAGGAGATGGTCCGTAATAACGGCCGCCACCTCTGGCGTCGGCTTCTGATAATGTAGCTTTACTAGAGCTACTCGAGCTACCCGCACGTACCCAATTCAGATCATTGAATACCCTTGCATCGCCCTTGTACTGGAGGTGGCTGTCGGCCATATATTGGCAATACTGTTCAATTACGTCTAAAAGGCGCGTTAGCAGGTCTATAATACCTATACGACGTTTCTCTTGACACTAACCAACATCCGCGGGAAGAGAGATACAGCGGTGTTTGTGTAAGGACTTGAGCATCTCTTTGACCCAGACGCGGCAGGTCCACCTATCCTCTCCTCGAGGGAGGTAACGAGGATCCATCAGGTGGATAGATGAAGCACACTTCCGGAGAGTGTCTAGACTAGGCGCATCCGCGATCTTGAGGACTACAACCATAGTGCCGGATCTGAGAGGGTTAGAAACCCGGCGCTCCTCGAGGTAGAGATCCAAGGCTGCTCTGTTGGTATCGGTGGCATGCATGAGAATTCCTGCTGGGGGTGAGCTTCCGCTAAGGAATAGGCCCCAGTGCTGTGTTGACTATTAGAATGGTATGCTTCGAATGCCCTGATGGGAGGAGTACTTGCATATTTATTTTGCCCGTTGACATTGCGAAGAAACTGCAGGGTGATGAAAAGGTTCTCTTTATAGATCTCCGACATTGTATAGTACGATTCGAAATCGTATAGTTTTGCTGATGAGAGGTGATTGTGTTATCCTACTGTTATGTACACAACAACCGGATTCCAGTCAACTTATATAGCTCTTCCCAGTGGTTTTGTAGCAATTAAATTACATGTGTTAATAGTCAATTGTCTTTGCATCTGGGCTCGGAGTATAACAGAAATGATCTTTGACGCCAAAAAGGTCCCGAGGCTACGGGTAGGATCAATGAAATATTTTCTATCACCAACATTGTGCCAGATTGTGTGATGAATAATAAGACACGAGATATAATTGGTTTTCATAATGGAGCTGCGTAACGCTGTCCAGATTGGTCAAAGTTGGTGAAGCGTTCGGCTGTGGATCCCTAGCAACCAGTGACTAAGGCACTCATTGTAAATGAGGCAGTCACGGCCTGCAATACGCATATATTCTAGGGAATCACACGGCCAGGTAGGGTCGGTCCGACTTACGAAGTGGGCGGCAAGCGGCGTTTAGCCTCCTTTCTTGGTAATACATAGTGGGTAAAATCATTTCACAGAGAGGTAAATAGCCGCGCATAGCCGTTTACCTATCCACAGATGGTACCTAGGTTGCGTTGGTTGCAAGGTGGCGCAGTTTTGTTAGGCTTCGTACTTTGTGTTAAGTTGCACTGTAAGCGCGCGCCTCGTTAAAATCCCTGATAATTTGACCATAGCCTCTCCCTCAATATTCCCAACACCAACACCTAATCTTCATATGAAAAATAATCTCAAGAATTATCTTAATCATCAAACGCCCAAACCATAATTCTCTAAGGCTCCGATAATTGTCGTCTCTTCTTCAGTCACTATTTGTCGCAATCAAGCTGACTTTTTTTTTTTCATCATGGACATCCCCGACGACCTGGTGAGCAGCACGCTATCACTTATTGAGAGTACGAGGTTGCCACATCCATCAGGTCCGCTGCTGGAATCATTTATTTCTGAAGCTCTCAATCCTGTGTTAGCTGCACGTTACGTGAATCATAGGTTGCAACTTGGTGAGGCTTCCTCACTAATAGATGATTGGTCGTACATCATCGAGTCTAGTAAGTTCATTTCCTCCATTTATTATGCTACTAGTCTAACAACCATAGTCACTCAAAATGGCCGCCCTCCACCACGGCCTAGTGCTGTTGATCAGCATGCTATTACAAGACGAGACGGCGGAAAGTGTTGCGTGACTGGAAAAGCTGGCACGCTGCGTGATCCTCTTGTCGTCGCGCCCATTCTTCCAATCCCACTTGGTTGGGCTACAGATAAGGTATACTCCCCGTCGCCTAAACCAGTCATCAATAGAAAGCTAATAGTCAAGTCTGAAAGGCTAGCATCATCGATATGCTTGGTGCTTTCTTTGGACCGCCATACCGAGACTGGTGGCTATCCTATGTTAGAAATCCCGAAGGCATGCCGCCTTATTATAATCACTGGTTAGTCAGAAAATCTGCAGCCAAAGCATTTGCTTCGGGGTTTGTCAAATTAGATAGGTTGCATCCATCAATGATTGAGGTGAGTTGCGACTGGTTACTCTGATTTTCCTCCCGTCTGACGATTTGCAACAGTATGAGTTCAAACACGTTCCCATCGGGCCGGAGGAATTGATCGAAGTCGATGGTGCATATCCTTTATTAGGTGACCACTCACGGGCGGGTATCATTAAGGTTGACCCTCGCTTCGTCGGCTCCCAGGCTCGACTATGCAAAAGTATTCAATATCTCAACATCTACAGAAATTTTTCATTGGTAACCCCGCCTCGACCCTCAAGTCTATCAATTGGCCTCTCAGCACAGCGCTCAAATATAGCATCATCAGATCGTGGGAGTCTCTTCAACCTGTGTGTGCGCGCGTTCCTCACAGTCTGGCATTTGGCCCCCTCAAAAGTCAGAATATGTTGTTACAAGGTATTGCAAAAGCTTGGAGAACGCCTATACGGGAGACCCATTGGCCACTCCACCGTCCAGAGACTACCATTTGGATTGTACTTGAAGTATAATGGAGAAGCTGATGATTTCCGCAATGAATTTAATGCACTAAAGCTGGTCCGCCAACACACCTCAATTCCAGTTCCGGAACCACTCGACGTAATTGTTGAGCAAGGAGATACCAATGACCCATTCTCTGGCCCTATACCTTATCTCCTTATGAAGAGAGTCCCTGGTTTGCCGTTATCACGCTGTCAAAACGTTCTCTCAGACAGAGATATAGAACGAATTGTGAATCAGCTCAAGGACTATGTAGCCCAGCTGAGAGATATTCCTCGTTTAACCAGATTAGGCATGGCCATATGCAACACTCTTGGCGAAGCATGCAGGGATCCCCGCATTCAAGGCGCGAATCCCGTTGGGCCATTCGCGGACGAGGCAGCATTTAGTCAGATGCTACGATTCTCAGACGAACCTGCTCGTCGTGGGCACAAAATAGTATTCACGCATGCGGATCTCAACCCCCGCAACATTTTGGTTGACCAGACTGTACAGTCAGATGGAAGCATCGGCTGGAACGTGACGGGGATTGTGGATTGGGAGACTGCAGGGTACTACCCCGAGTATTGGGACTACACAAAAGCGCTGTTCGAGGGATTTAGATGGACACGACGATATAACGATCTGGTGCATAATATATTTAGCGAATTTGGAGACTATTCTCGAGAGCTAGACGTTGAGAAGAGGAGCTGGGAGAGCGGGGATGGGGTGTAAACTCTACAATACCTTGGGTACCTTAGGCGATATCCAATCACCTACTGTACTATGCTACCGATTTCAGGGGTACGGTGACTGCAAACATAATCCCTGTAAATTCTGATCTTACGTTTCCCAAGTTCCTGACCAAATCTTGAACTAAGATCTAAATACATATAACTACCTCCTAGCTATATGCCCTCTTCTTTCATCATGACTACCATAAATATACCCTTCATAACCGTAGCGCCTTCGAAGCCACACACTCATACCGTCGTCTTTCTACACGGCCGCGGCGACAACGCCCGCAACTTCGCAGCCTCGCTAGCTCACTCTCGCGACTCGCGCGGTCGCACGCTTGCAGACGCATTTCCATCCTTTCGCTGGGTATTTCCCCAAGCGCCAACGCGCAAGTGCGCCAGCTCCCCCGAGACGTGGCCGCAATGGTTCGACGTGTGGGACGTGCGCGATTTTGCCGCGAACGAGGACCTGCAGGCCGTAGGGCTCAAAGAAGTCGTGCCTGCTCTCCGCCTCATCCTTGGCGATGAGGCCGCATTACTCGGGGGCCGCTGGGACCGCGTGGTGTTGGCAGGAATCAGCATGGGCGGTGCGACGAGCGCGCATGTTTTGTTCAACTTGGATGTGCCACCAGCGGGGGGAGGAAGACTCGGGGCCTTTATTGGCTTCTCGTGCCGGTGTCCGTTTGCTGGCCGTGGCTTAGCCGGTATGAGAGATGCTCTTGGTCTAGAAGGCGTCCCGGATCACGGCCATGTCGTACAAAATACGCCTGTGTTGCTCGAGCACTGCGCAGATGACCCTCTAGTCCTGGTTCAGAATGGCCGAGGCTTACGAGATATATTACTTGGATTCGGTGCGCAGGTGGAATGGAAAGAATATCCCAACGGAGGGCACTGGTTCAATTCTCCGACTGGCATGGACGATGTGGTAGAGTTTCTAAATAGGCGCCTTGGGGAGGACAGTTCTGCAGGCAACCCTACACTTTTACGCCAAGCCTCATCTAACGCGATGGATCTATCATGAGGGAAACCAAGCTTCGGGGAGGAATCTAGACATAACCATAGTGGTAAATTTATGGTAGTACCTACTAATATTACGAAGTAATAGAAACTGCGATACAGATTTCGTTTCAATATCCTACAAGTAAACACAAGGGATGGGTCAGAGCGCGGTTATACACGAAGACATAAACACCCAGGTACTCGTCTAGAACCTTCAATCTTTACCGTGGACGCTTATTACCGGTACAAATCACAATATTAATAAAAAGAATTTCCAAGAAAGATCTTCATTACTAAAGCCTATTGAGGGAGAGCTACCTTCGGGACATGACTCCTGGATTACGTTTTCTGGGAGGAACTGTACCTTGTGCCGTGTAATCTAGGACTAAAACACCCTCCTCCACCTGCTTCCACTGAGTTGCGTTTTCATTTATTGCTTGTATTACTTACTAGAGGGTTCATCGCTCCCCATGAAGGTGTCCCCGCCGGTACCGGACACCTTATAAGGACTCTTATCCTCCTCTTCCTTGGGTGGATTGGAGGACGTAACTCTTTGGCTACGGGCATTGAGGATAGCCACGCGATTTTCGTGCAGTCTGCGAATCGTATTGTAAACCTTGTCTTCTTGAGGAGCCTTGTTTTCCTGGGGAACATTGTCCTCCTGTGAGGGCCCAGACATGTTGTTATTCATGGTCTCTAAGGGGTTGATAATGGTTGAAGATTAGGTTACAATTCCTGCCAGACTATACTATGAATCTAGCCGTTTTGATTCGATGTTTGCCAAAGTGGTGTTATGGTAGAGCAGATTCGTATTCACCAATTTTAATATAGGTTTTCAAAACAATTTAATGGTTAACTCATTGTTTACAATCCATTACCTGATTAACAAACAGTAGGATTAGCACATGAAAAACGCATTGTACTCAAGCTTGAATCTGGTTTTAAAAAAAGAAGGATAGTCGGTAAACTACACCAAATACTCTTATTAAGCTAACTATCGCTCCCACACAACACAAAGCCATTGAAGAAATACCAGAAGAGGAAGGAACAAAGCCTGCAATTAACAATTCAATTGTTCCGAGAGAAATATTCCTTTGTTCTATGAAGTGTACCTAGGTAGGTATTTTAGCTCAGCTATAGGGACGTAGTTTACCTTAGACGGTATCTGGGTACTAGGTAATTGGGCGAGCTTAAAATCACGTAGCATGTATAGATGTGTCAGGATTAATGCCCGTGGATGTATACCAAGTAGTAGATGTATTGAACGAGTAACTCCTGGCCTTCTATCCTTTGACGAGGGCACTTCGCGCCTCTTATATAGTAGATAGACCCCCGTAGTCACCCCTGACCCACTATACCTTAGCAAGATGTTCGCCTCAAGACAACCAAAGCGAAATTCGCAGCTATGGAATTAATCTTGCACTATAGATCAAGAGATAATTCAGTATTTAAGTTTGATTCCTTTTTACAAGATCGGAATATGAACATCATATACAGAGTCTATCTATAACCAAAGAATAGCAAAGGCTAACAGGAATGTCCCGCCTACTTCTATACATTGCCCCTTTTACTCCTATTCGTAGCTCTGTGGTACTATCTTTACTCTAACACGTTCACCCGAAATTAACCTGTATATAATACTTATATAGCAACCATAAATACCTATTATAATTCCACGTCGTTCTCACTACCAGCTTCGAGGCTCCCCTTGGTGCTCTTCTTAAACACTAACCCGGGGTGACCTATAGATAAACAGTAGAATGACACGACAACGAGCCTATGTGAGTGTTAACCTCCTATAATGGAACAGTTAGGAACATACTTACACTCCTTCCAAACCAATAAATAAACCCTCCTCCCTAATCAGTTCGCCGCTATAACCCTCATGCAGCTCAACGAGGCGATACACGCTTCTCACGACAGTTAAGAGCATGGCAAGGAACATGAAACCAAAGAAGATCTTCAATCTAGGACCGATGGTAGTAACTGCCTTGCGTCCTTGTGGGGACCGGAAGTACCGAATAATGAAGTCGAGAAGGAAACTACAGAAGGTAACAATGGTAGCGACCTGGAAGGCTAAGCCTGCGAGAGCTAGGTCGATTCCAATATGGCTTGATCCACTGGACGTGCTCGACATAGCTCCCCCAGCAGCTTGTAATGCAAGGGATATGATGTCGCAGGTAACGAAGCCAAAATAGAAGAAAATTGGCTTCACACGGCTAAGAGATGGTGCAAAGTATGTGGTACTGTATGACGGGAGTTCAAGTCAGTTACCTAAGTCGACTATATAGGAGACTCAAATCTTACTCACGTTTGGCCGAGGATCACATATGTAGCAGCACAATACCACTGTAACAAGAGTTAGTAACTATGTTCTTAATGAGGGATTCAAGAGGCAAAGCATATATCGGGATTAATGATTCTTCAATAAGCGTAACAGGGGAAATGCTAGCTCTGGAGCCAAGCCAAATAAACGAGGAAGAATAATTAATAGAGTTACGTACCACAGGACCAATTGTGATGCAAACTGTTGCGAAGTTTAGCATGAGATCACTAGAAAAGAATCGTGATAATAAGTCCACTCACTCATCTGCATTAGAAACGCATCGAAACTGAATGGTTCATAGTATAGCCAGACACGACCACCATACCCAATGCAGGCGTTGATAGAACAGACGATCATGCAGCTCATAAACCACCATGTCTTCCATCTGAACCCCAGAATCGCGTGTAGAACTCCCCCTAAGCCGAAGAGGACCATAAAGGTGATGTTAGCGGCCAGAGAAGGCCGGTATCCGTAAACTGTCCATTCGATCGGGCAGGTATCTAGCGTGCAAGTGGCATCGGGCCCGAAGGTTATGACGTCCGGAGGTAAAGACCCAGACATTCCAAATAGAGGACTTAGACCTGTGATAGTAGGTTGTCAATGGATATAAAGAATGTATTGCGATGAAGATGAGCCCGATGAACGAGAATCCAAGATCAATGTCGGAAAAGGAGTAATTATTGTTCAGGATAGTTACACCGGAATATTTATTATCAAACGAGAGTACAGTAGTCTACATTTATAAGATCTTTCACTCCGTTGCCTACACGAACCGGAAGCCAATTCCACCGATCGCATCATATCAGCTACAGCTCGAGGCTTACTACGCCGTCGCGTAGATTCTAGTGACATAAGTCGCTACCTTAGGTAGGTAGGTAGGTATCTAAATTCATCCTACGATTATATGGGGAGGAAAGCGCAATATCGTATATTTCCTTGTTCTGGTGGATCATCATTAGCAGGCCGGCGTAGAAATTTGGTGCCATCTTGGGGCTGTGAGCGCATGTACTGTCGACTCGGACTCGCATGCTTGCGTAACTAAAGCTCGCACTCGGTACGCGCAGCTGAACATATGCGATTGGACGCCTCACGCTTGGCTGCTGGGGTTATAAACGTGGCGGCCTTGCTAGTCGCTATGGATTTCGGAGTTTAGGTATCATGATTCACAGTAGCAAAAATATTAGAGCAACGTTGTTCTGATAGCGTATAGGCTATATTCAGCGAAGATTAAGCCCTTGCGACAGAAAACGTTAAGTATAATCACTATCTTATATCTTAGTGTTAGTTGTAGGAAGCTGTATCCCTACGAATCGGAGCTTTTTTCTTGAATTAATGGGACCGTTATCGTAACCATTTTTATTATTGCGAATACATCTTTAACCTAATAGATTACGTTGGCTTTTACTTAGAAAGACTTAGTTTGGTTGTGTAATTGAGACTTTCATGTTCAACCTACTCTTGATTTTCTGTATAGGCTAATTGCTTACCCACACACTTGCTAGTTGCTTCTCGCCCAAATAGAAGAGATTATTTATAAATAGTTAATGGCGACGGATTTTCCCTAGATATAATTTACAATTGTTAACTCAATATTGTTGCTATCCCGTATATGATGTTCGTTAATGAGGGTTGCTATGGCCAGGTACCAGCCACATCGCTTTCGCATCAGATAATCAGTAGAGTCTAGTAGAGTCTGATCTTGTTCTCGTTACAACGTATTAATATAGGATGTTTATATATTGACAACGGCCACATCTTCGATTAAACAAGAAAGTTTTCCTCTACATGTACCGCTTCATAAACTCGGTAATTGTAAGGATGATCCAAACTGCATAGTATCCGCTCGTATGCCCCTATCTCAGGGCATGTTGCGAGTATCTTGGTCTAACAGTAGTGTAACTTAGCGCGCAGGTACACAAGTACAGGTATCCATACCTGTATTTGACGACGAAGATGATATAAAGACAACAAGTACAGCGGCATACGCAGTCGTCGAGGCGAATATTTCCGCCCTTCGTGCATTCGGTAAGACTCCAACGCTGGGTGCAAAGAGCACCGTGAACATGGCAATGACACCCAGCTGTGCATTCTCCTCGGTTAGAAGACGTAGAAGCACTATAGCTCCAAGCAGGAGGATCGCTGCCACGACAGTGCTAATTGTAGCTGTTGCTCAAGCAACATGATTCTCATTGTGTGCTCGGTCTCATCTGTGATTTTTGTCTCCTCCGGCTGTCAGCATGTTGCATAATTAGAATGGGTCGTGTTAGCGGTACCTTAAACATCCAATGATCTTGTAAGAATCGTGAGAGAAGATCCTTATCAGGCGTCCGTCTAAGGGCGGCAAGATCTTGATGATTATACTCAGAGAGCCGTTTCTCGGCGAGGCCTGCTAAGATGGGCTGTCGGCCGGACTCGTTCCCGAGAGTCATATATAGGTAGGTATTTATATAGGACTGCTCGTATACAACATCTAAGGCCCGTTTCCTAGGCTCTTCGAGCGCTGCTATTTGGCTTTGACGCAACAATGCTTCTTCTATCGTTCACTATCAGCTGACATAACTCCCACTATGGATTCCCATTCCGTCCGTCATATTTTCGATAATTATCAGTTGCAATCTTCGGACATAAACGCTGCATAAGGATTAAATTAAGAATTTCCATTTTTCAAGTAACATATATTGTCAAGAGATAATAGGAGCACCACAGAGGTGGCCGCCAAGCAGCAGGTCTGCATCCCTCCCCTATCCTTAGGATGTAGGATATCGATTTTATAGAGTGATTATTATATCTTAATACTAGAAGTTGTCTGTTGTCTCTAACTCTATACACCCTTGTACAATAGGGAGGAATCCCCTCCTCTAACTTGACTGCTTGACCGCTTCACTATCCCCTTTAAAGACTTTTAGCACTGTGTGAATTATCACTTGACAACCAAAGACAAGGCTTGACGTTGTCGGGTTGGATTACGTAGTATAGACGGTAGTATTTGCAGTTAAGTAACTAGCTGATCAAGGGATATCCTGTCTTGTTACTTTTAACCCCTTGACTGGCATAAAACAGCAAACCCACTATTAGTATCAATACATCAATATCGGCTAAGGAAGATAAACTGGTTCTATATTATTAGATTAGCCAATCATATTTATTATAGAGGCATATTGTAAGGTTTGTTTCTTTTATGTTAATGAATCGCGTTGAACTTCACGTACTCTACCGATTATAAAGGGTTTGCTGTTTTATGCCAGTCAAGGGGATGCTGCTACTATTACGTCATTGATGTCGATGCAGGCTAAATGCCGAGTCTAATCTGTTAAAGTCTCACGGAACACGGCAAACTCGACCATGCTATGTATTGCTGGGCTCAAGACTTGATTTCTTCGCATTGTGCCCATGTCCTTTGCAAACAAGTCACAGCGACAATGTTCCACACGTGGGCCGTTGTCGCACTTGAGGACATAGTAAAAACCTGTATCAGATGCATCTTTGCATTTTCGTAGGGTCAGACAGAAGGGTCTGGACTCTATAAATTCAGTCGTGACTAGAACAGAAAGACATTTTTGTGTAGTACAGTCGCATTATTCATCCGCGTGACGTTCCGAAGTGCTGAGCGTTACAAGTCTCTACAGTAGGTTGCGTGGAAAGTCGAGTCCTTGACGAATAAATCGACACATGTGGGTTTCTTATTGGACTTTGGTGGTGGCGTAATGTGGCTATCATCGGTGACTATCACAGCCATCACCGCTTTATCAGGCACCTAATGCGGTTCTAAGGCACGAAACCATGCTGTTATGCAGGGGTTATGGGGTTTAGGAGGGACTAAAAATAGAGGGCGGATCAGGAATACATCTGTTTCTAATACAGTTTCTATGTGTGGCACAGGTACCAGCTAACTAGGCAGCTAACAGATACACCTGGGGCACTTTCCACCGTTTAGGAAAGGTGTTAGATGCCAAGACCCGAATATCTGCGACTCCGAATTCCAAACTGCCTAAGCCCCGCCGATGCAGCGATGGTCGCATGTATTTGACATGTATTCGGACTCCTTCTTCCGGCTTTCCACACAATCAACCCATCACCATCAACTAGCCACAACAGCTGGGCTATGTACTAGTTGTCTCTCTAGATAGTCTCTCATGATATGGGGGGTCAATTGATGGTGTTTCCTTTTACTTATTAACATACCTCTTTTCGCCTCTCATTTCTCTTCTAACTGCCGACTTTCATTCGGATCACTGTCGTTTTTGACTCAAGAGTGCGCGCGACTTTTATCTTCGGTATCTTCGGTCATACCGCTTTCTTTCATTTATAACTTACCTTATACTTGACTTTTCATCGTTGACCGCCGAACACCTTATCCTCTGCCGGCGTGCTATGCGCATCGGCGACGTCTTCTCTTCTCGATGTACCACCTTCGTCGAATAACCATCGCTGCCGCCGTGCTTGCTGTCGTCGTTGTAGTTGTCACCGTACTACCTCGAGCCCTCAATCCCGTCCCACCAAACAAGGAAAAGCAGGAGGCTGACCGACAGTGGATCAATACATCCCCATATTGGCTTGATCGTCAGGCCTGTCGCTGGTTTAGCCTCTGCGGTCTACTGCATCTTAGAAGCGACCCTCCAGCGAAGCCAAAGAATAAAGACGATGGTCATCGACATGAACTGAGACGCCTCCTGGGAGAGGAAGGGGTTACAATATTAAGAGAAGAGAGTAACAATAAGAAAAAAGGGCAGCTGAAGGGGATACCCGACTATGTGCTAAATTATGCACCGCTAGTTCACCTCTATTCGCAGGAATTCTTCTGGCCCTCAGATATTGCTGACCACATCAAACATGTGGTACCGGACATAGACGAAGACAAATTGACGCTTAACGAGTCACAGCCCCTCACTTTAGCCAACTTGAACGAGTTTAGCTCCGAACTGGGATTCCAACATCTAAACAGCAAGGATGACGTAGAGTCACGCCCGAGCTGGCTTCACAGCAAGATGAACAGGCCGATCGCTTTTAACGACGAGGATGACGATAAAGAGCACGAAGACAACTCGGAGCCTGATAGTCGGTTTAGCGACGATACGACATGGTTCGACGTAGATCGTGATCACCCCTTACACCGAATTTCAGACCCACGGAAGCGTCCTACTAGCAGATCACAGTCGCAACGGCTGGAAAGGCGGTTCCAAGTATTTGATTCTCATGAAGAGCAAAAAAGACTCATGTCGCAAGAAGCGCAGAACGCGCAGAACAAGCCTGACGAGTCGGGATACTCTCGTGCGCCGGCTACTCTCGTTTTGGTAGATAAAGGATCCGGTATCGTGGATGCTTTCTGGTTTTTCTTTTACGCCTATAACCTCGGACAGACGGTCCTTGGTACACGATACGGGAACCATGTCGGCGATTGGGAGCATTGTATGATCCGCTTCGAGTCCGGTGTTCCTCGCGCGGTTTTCTTTAGCGAGCACGAAGGCGGCCAAGCATACGCTTGGCACGCTGTTGAGAAACGAGGAAATGAGACTGAGATTCAAAGACCGGTCATATACAGCGCTGTTGGGTCACATGCTATGTATGCCACGCCTGGAAACCACCCTTATGTTTTACCCTTCGGGATCCTCAAGGATGTCACGGATAAAGGCCCACTATGGGATCCTTCTAAGAACCTTAGAGGCTATTGGTATGACTATACCACTACCAAGGATAACGAGGGACTGGAACCAGTGAAGGAAAACGCTGATGAGCCGACGAGTTGGTTCCATTATAGAGGAACTTGGGGCGACAAGTTATACGGTCTCAATGATAGACGACAGTGGCGGCTGTTCGGCCAGTACCACTACGTGACGGGCCCTCAAGGGCCCAAATTCAAGAATCTCGGCAGGGAGAAAGTATGCCAAACATGGAGGTGCCGAATTATACATAGCATTGCAGAAGGAAAGAAAGGAAGCTGGCATTCATGAAGGATGGAAGGGTTATACCATAGAGAAGGGCACCACAGGCGTTAGCGGCTTAGATACCCCAGCGGTAGTTGGGCAACTTTATTTTATTTTATTGCTTTCTGTTGTTTTGAAATATAACGATTCATAGGTTCCTATGCAGACGAGATTTCCCAGATACCTGGTTCGTGGAAATGAGACCTTGGCCGCCGAATTGTAGGATAGTTGCATTCGATGTCAGGCTCTTCAGCTCTGCGTCTTCCCGTCCAATAACGCTTCGTAGACCCGTTCAGCTGCCCATGTGCAATCGTACCATGCCGATCCGATCAGGTTGTATCGCGTAGAATTCCACTTGTCTGGACACGAGAGTGCCTCGGCGTGTTTCCCCTGTGTTCGTACACCACCACCACCACATACGGCATCCCGCGGAGGAGCAAGGGGGTCCACCGAACCCCCCCTCCCCTGGGGAATTCTTCTCCTCCTTCTCCGCATCGCGACCCCGGATTTTCCTAGGGGGGCCCTTGGCGAGGTCGCGGTTCCTGATTGGTGCGCATGGAACTTCGTCGGGGTACGGCGCGCTGGAGACTGGAGTAGGTATTCCCTCCAGTAAGGAAATCCCCCAGAGCCCCGGAACGGGGAACCGTCGTCCCCTTCGAGTATCAAGCTCCGGGGTCTGGTTCTCCACGGTGGGCCCATGGGTTTGGGTTTGGAGGTAGGTGCATAGGTAAGTGTATATATATAAGTATGTCGGCGCCTTGTGGCCGAGATGAGCGCGTGCTGGTTCATTGAGTTGGTGCTTGTTGTTTGTTGTTTCCGGTTCCTCGTTTTGTAAGTGGAGGACGGCTTCTTTGGCATATATACCTACCTAACTACCTAGACATTGAATATCCAGGGCGACTGTATGCGGTTATTGTCAATATGAAGCCTCATACTTACCAGGTATGCGTATTATGTATTATCAAGGCCAATCGACACGATAGAAATCGTAGGTAGCTAACTCCTTCGCGCTATAGTTCCTCGTCGGCGTCTTCGCCTCGATGGGCTCGGTGCTCTTCGGTTACGACCTCGGTGTCATCGCGGGTGTCGTAGGAAGTACCTCGTACGCCGAACTATTCCAATCAAACGCAGCTCAAGAGTCAGTCTTCCGCATCCTACCTACTTCTTTCCTTTCCGGTTCTCGGTCCTAATCATACGACTACAGTGGAGCCGTCGTCTCTCTATTCACAGGTGGTGCTTTCTTCGGCGCCATGTTCGCGGGGCCGGCGGGTGATATGCTCGGCCGGAGACTGACTATCATGCTGGGCGCTATTATCTTCCTTCTCGGAGGTGCAATCCAGACTGCTGCGCAGACGATAAATTTCCTGTACGGCGGGCGGGCCATTGCTGGTTTGGGTGTTGGGTTCTTGACTATGATTATTCGGTAAGTTTGTCCCTTAATTTATATATATGATTTATATATATGAATAGAGGACGTACCGTGCTAATGATCACATATAGTGAGTTTTCGTCTCGGAGATATGGTCCTCCTATTCAGAAATGAGTAGAGTTAGCAGAGTCGATATACTGACCTTACCACCTCCAACAGCCGTCTACCAAAGCGAAATAGCACACCCCTCCATCCGCGGCCGCGTCACGGGCCTACAACAATTCATGCTGGGCATCGGTGCCTTCCTCGCCGGCTGGATCTCCTGGGGCTGCTTCATCAACCTGAGCAACGACGCGCAATGGCGTATCCCGCTCGGTATCCAGAACCTGCCCGCTTTAGTCCTAGCCGCGCTCATCCTACTGTTCCCCGAGAGTCCACGCTGGCTCGTCGACCACGACCGCGCCGAGGAGGGCCTGCGCACCCTGGCCAAGCTCCACTCCAACGGCGATGTAAACGACCCCTGGGTCCGGGCGGAGTTCGCTCAGATCCAGGAGACGATTAGCTTTGAGCATGAGCACGAGGCGAAGAGTTATATGGAACTTTTCACGAATCCGTACGTAGTATTTGGTTTATCTTATTAATGAAGCAAGGGGCCCTTTATATAGAGGTAATTAGGTAGCTAACCGTCCTCCTTTAACAGCTCCGCGTTCCGCCGCCTCTTCCTCGCCTGCGCTATCCAAGGCGCGACGCAGATGACGGGCGTATCCGCGATCCAGTATTTCTCCGTCACAATCTTCGCACAGATCGGCATATCTGCCGACGACGCGCTCAAGTATCAGGCCATCAACAGCATCCTTGCACTAATCGCGCAAGCCTTTTGTATGCTACTCATTGACAAGTTCGGCCGTCGACCGACTATAATCGCCGGTAACCTCGTCAACTGCCTTATGTTCATCATCGTCACCATATTGCTATCCCAGTTCCCGCCAGATACAAATTCTGGGAGTACTGCCGGTTGGGGGTTCATTATTGTGTAAGTAATTATGGTTACTGCTCGCCGCGGAAAAGATAACTAACACTCTTTTAACTAGCACCTGGCTCTTCAACATATCCTTCTCCTTCGCCTGCGGTCCACTCTCCTGGATCATTCCCGCCGAGATCTTCGACACGCACACGCGCTCCAAGGGCGTATCTCTCGCCACTATGATAAGTTTTGCTTTTAACACTCTCATCGGACAAATAACCAAGGTAGCCATCGATTCTGTCGGCTGGCGGTATTTTATCCTGTTCGCGGTGTGCAACGCGACCAATGCACTTTTCTTCTGGCTCGTGCTCCCTGAGACCAAGCGCGTACCTCTCGAACAGATGAGCACCGTGGTCTTTGCCCCCGACGCCCCTTGGATCGTGCTTGGAAAGCGATCTAAGGCATTCCGGGCCGCCGCCGAGGCCGCCGCCGTCGATGTGAAGGAGGTCGAGTTGAAGAAGGGTGAGATTTAAAGCAGGCGAGTGGATGTTTACGATAAATAATGCTTGTGGAAAGGATGTTAATCCATGTACTTTCTATAAATTATACGAAACTGGATATAACTTAGCAAATTGAGGTATGTGTATATCAGATATGGGACTTGACCGGATTCGTAGAGCAGTTCGTATAAACTCATCCTATATTTTCGAGTTGCTTCTTATACTTTAGATAAACTCCGAATAATAAGAATCATCAAATCCCATTTCAGATGTATCGATATTAAGTTTATCAAGCAAAGAGCAAACGTGGTAATCAAAGGCAGATCTTTGTGTAGGATATGGCACCCTGCCTTGGCAGTATTCCCATGCACTCAGAGTGTTGCTCTGAATGTATTTGATATTTTAATCAAACTATAGGAAATATTAGTATCCAAGACTGGAAACTATCGTACAAAATCAGGTATCATCAAAACTTTCTACTTCCATCACTCGACTTTTTGCGCAACACGACAAGCCATACCCTAGTCGAATAGTGACAGAGATAATCTCTAAGGGGTATATAGGTTCATAGCTTATACAACATTATTTTCCTACACTAGGCATCTAGGCCTCAAAAACATGGGGTCGGTATTCGACGTTCTCTAACACCGCGTCGAAGGCTTCCTGTACGTCTGCGTGGAAGAATGGCCGGTTAAGGCCATAAACGGGCACCTGGCGAGCGGAACTCTCGTCTTCGGTGATCGAAGGTGGCTGCGCGCCGATCTCTTCGTCGCCATGGCTCGTGCGCTTCTCGACCGCCCCCTTTTCTCCAATGTGACTTTCTCCAGAAAGAGGTGATGCTGCTTCCGCCAGATCGGCGACGCTAAAAATGGATTTCCAGCGACGGCCGGCTTCAGCATCTCCTTTGGGCCGTAAGAACCCGAAACCGGCGGCGACAAGGGCGCGACGAGTCCAGGCGTTCCTGACGTTGGCAAAGTGCCACTCTACCACGTCGGGTTGGGTATACTTATCTAATTGGTTACGCACGTCGATTAAGGCTTGAACGGAAGTCGCATCCACATTATTAATGGCAGAACAGTCCAGAATGATAGCTCTAAGAGTAGGTCGCTCTGCCGTATCGTCTACGACAACCTGGCCCTTACGAGGACCGGGGTTATTCCAGGGACGATCCTAGCGTAACATTAGCAAATGCAAATAGAGACTTAGGGATATCGAACTTACACCTAGCTGTCCGAGGGATGCCGGATCAGTCCTTCGCGTCGCTTTGAAAATTCCCGCCGTCAGCCCCTCCAAGAACCGAGTTGCGTTTGGATAGTTAAATAGCTCCGAAAATTGGTAGATAAACACGCCAGGATAGGGATGAGAAACAGGTACGCGAGGATTCGAGTTATCTTCGTGATCTAGCGGGATGAATAGATTGCGCTCGCTTGAAATGTGACCTTCCCTCAACGTTAAGGGGGTCTTTTGATCCTGGGATAAGAACTGGCTTGAGCTAGTACGCCTGCCGGGTCTCAAATCCCCAATGGTTCGAACCGTAGCAACACCGAGGAAACGTCCCTTCGCCTGGAACAAGCGGAAAATGAAGACGGCAAAGGATATGCAGACTGTAGTGTAGATACCATCCTCAATACCGTCGAAGATAGTTACCAAAACTCCAGCAAAGAAGATGATAACCTCCAAGGGGGAGATTCTCCAGAATTGATACACGACGTCCGGTGGAGACACAACGTCTAAAACTGCGTGGATAATTACGGCGGCTAGAGATGCCTGGGGGATATACCAAAAAACGGCCGTCAACGCGTAGAGAGCAAGTAGCACAACGACCGCAGTAATGACACCGGCGAATGGCGTACGCACACCGCATTTCGCCTTAATAGCAGTACGGGAGAACGATCCGGTAGCCGGATACGCACCAAGGAAGGGACCTAAGAGGTTGCTGACACCAATAGCAACCAATTCCTGCGAGGGATCGATGACGTAGTTATTAATACGACCGAACGACTTCGAGATAGAGATATGTTCGATCAAGACAACGATGACGGCTGCGGGAAGCTCGGAGGTAAAGAAGGAGAGAATCTTGGGATCGAGATTGGGAACCGCAGCATGTTGAAATCCTATATTTGTTAGCCACGTGCCACCGAACAACAGGTATATCATGTAAGTGGTATTCTTTACCTCGAGGAACTTCGCCGAGAACGCTGAAAAGAGGATCGTCACGGCGGTAAAGATTAACGCCGGCGCTAATTCCAGTATACAGCAATATGACGAAGGCAGTCCGGAGGGTAGAGACGAAGAAGAGCGTCTTCTCTCGGTGAGGATACTTCTTAGCTAGATATGTGCAAGTTCCCCTAATGATGTACAGCATGAGTAAAGCTGTAAGGCCCATAGCAGCATCGATGGTGGTGTATTTGAGGTTCTTCAAGGTGTTGATGATAACCAGATAAGTGGCATCTCGTGTTGAAAATCGTTTCTTTTTGCTGTTCATGCCCATCATCGTGGGTATTTGTCCGACGGCGATGTTGATTCCGGATCCAGTCATAAAGGCAGCAATCGAAGGCAGAGGGATGAAATCGACGATCCAACCAAGCCTTGCCAACCCTAGGAAACACACAATAGCGCCGACAATGACGGCAAGCGCAGATGCCACAACGTGACCCGGAACATCAGGGATAGCTGCCTCTGCTCTGCTGACGATGCCGCCGGTGACAGTCGACATGACCGCGACAGGCTTCAAGCGGGGTTAGCAAAGCATATCCTTAATACAACGGACAAAGGATACTACGAAATTTAGCGACATACTCCGATTGTAATATCCTTAGAAGTTGCAAAGAACCAATAGATAAGGACACCCATGAAGGATGAGTAGAGGCCATATTGAGGCTCAAGCTCCGCAAGCAATGCGTAAGCCATGCCTTGAGGCACGACTACAGCACCGACCGTGATACCTAAAGCCGGATTATGTCAGTCTTGCCCGTGCGATAGAGGGGCAGGGTCTAAGCTTACCAGCAATCAGATCACCCATAAACCATATCATATTGTATCTGGTAATCCAGTGAAGGAACGGGAATAGGCGCCAGAAATATTGGAGGATTCCTCGGGGCGTTGGCGTAATACTCACGAGCCATTCGACCGCGGTCGGGTCCTTTTCGTCGTAGGGCTCGACATTAGGATGAACTTGAGACGCGTCTCTTGAGTCGGTGCGCTCAGCCTCACGTTGTCCGTAAGGGTCGAGGTTTAGGTTAAAGAACCAGGCAAAGCCATGGCCTACTTTGGTTAAAGTAGAAGACATATTTCAGTCTTACACAGCACCAAATATGAACCCTAAGGTTATGTCGGGGCGCGCCCCTTGAAGGTCCTGAGTGTAAAGTTGCGCTATAATTCGGTAAGATTACAAGGCAACGCAACACAACACAACCACCCAAGTCCAGATATCGACTACTGACGGAAATTGACTTTGCAAAGGGTCATATAATATAACCAAGCTACCCTAGAGAAAATGCCATCAACGTGCTCTCCAGGGAGGTGGAATGAACTGCATGATGCGGTCGTATTTAATATAATTGACAACTGGAATATCTGCAGGCCAGAAAGGGCCGATGAAATGGATAACCCCCGGACGAAGATTGACGATTCTGGATCGCGCACCGAAGAAGGAGCATTGTGCAATTGGGATTTACTGTCGTGTATTTTCTTGGTGAGGACTGGAGGACCAGTTATGGCTTCAGTTGGACGAACGAGAGCTCTTGTAGATGGCGAGATGTGGGGCTCCGATGATGTGCGCGCCCTTGTAACAGGGATTATGCGTATTGTGATACCAAAATCTCTACTAAATCTCTACTAAAATCTATGTACCTTGTCACTTACACCAGCTGCACTTACACTACCAAGTTATACCAAGACTAGTTCTTATTGCGCCATGAGTTTAGGGGAGCCCAGCTCTCAGCCTCGATCCAATCATGAACCAATAGAAGTTTTATCCAACATGTGAAAGGGTCGTTGGAACTAACATCGTTACTACACTACGATAAATATTCCAACTTTTCCAACAGACCGGATCCAGATCTTAGCCTCCATCTACACATTACCTAGATCTACATATGTAAGGATGTATATATGGCCTAGACCTAAGGCAAGCTAAAGTAAACACGTACATACAAATAAGGAAAGAGGATGAAAGATATCTGTGAGCTGAGTCTCCATCGAGATGTAACTTAGAAGATCTGATAACTATGAGGTAAAGCATAGCTTTTCATACATCTTAGTATTTGCTCATCTCTCCATCCACGAGGATAATCGTCCCATAACATCTTCTTGGCAAGGGGGCCACCAAGGTCCAAGACGACGCGCCTCCCGAGGGATCAACCATTAGACTACGCTTAATAAAGTCTAGATCCTGACTTCCCCGGCAGTCTAATGTATTAGGACTCGTAATCAGCTTAACTATCTACCTTTTACCCAACATAATTACCGATTAAGGGCCCAACCGCCGAGTGACAAAAGCCGTTGTGTGTTTCACTCAATATCCATGTCCCCTATTATTATTAAAGAGAAACTTAAAGAGTTGATAAACCTTCCTTTAAAAACATACCTACTACGTCTACACGCGACGAAATTACCTATCTAGAGATTACCTAGGTGCCTATCAATCATCTATATGAGAATTCCAACCTAGAAAAGCGTGTGAGTGGATACTCGTCTTTTTTGCCGTTGCTCTTGTCAGCACTTGCAAGCATTATCATAAAATACTATCAGATACCTTAAGCAGAAAAATCAAGATAGGTACGATAGACTATTCTCAACTACACTTATCCTAGATATTGCAACTCGATCGTCCTCCCAGGTGTATCATGGGATGGTGGGCTTAGATAGTACCTACCTCTATCACAGTTCCAAGTAATTATTTTTCGGGCTAGAGGATGAAACAAAGTTAGTAAGATCCTGAAGAGTATCAAACACATGTTAGTCTATGAGATGCTATTATAAGTTAAGCTCCAATGACGATCTCCAAGAATATAGCATACTATAGTCGTAATATACTGCCGAACTTGGAGTTCGAAGCTTCCATTCGACCTCTCGGATAGGACACTAGCAATCACGTCATGAAGAGGGGAGGGCCAAACAGACGAGCTAACCTCATATTGTGATTCGCTATTAAAGCTTCGCGTTGAAGTCTTGAAAGGCCCTTGACGTAAGAGGCTCATTTAGTCTACCTATATAAAACTGAACGAAAGTGAATTGCAACAAAATCATCTGACGCCATAGACAAGTTGTTTGGTTTCGCCATCACGTTGTCTATATACTACTCCAAAATAGGCGTAAGTTACAAACCACTATTATCTATAGGAGTATATCTTGGTATTAGTGTAATAAATATGGCTCTATGCCATCAATTTGCGTAATTAAACTAAGGCCAAATTTATTGCCCGTTGAAGGCTTCTTTTCCCTCAACTTTACTCGGGGTATTGCGGATTCAGATACCCGATGAACCCCCTTTCATACTTAAAGCCTGTTGTAAGTTATTATACCCAGTAGCCGTGAGCCACGATATATTTAACGAGTATGCTAAGTGTATGATAACCCTTCAACTATAACATGCTACTATTTACCGGAGAATAATGCTAGATGCCTAAATGAAAATCTTAAAAGATAGACCCCAAAATCCAATCAACCAAACCAGACTCCAACCATGAACCACCAATGCATCATAACCCGAACCCAGCCTAATGCCCCTATATACACCGCAAGTAGAACCCCTAAGTCTTAGAACAGCGGCAACTGTTACTATCTCCGGGACCACAGCTCCCAGGTACCTTCTCCCACATGCAATTATTCTCGACTTTATGGATATCGCAGGGCACTTCGATAATCTCGATAGGTGTGCATGCCTGTCTGTCCAAGGTAAAGGTGATCGAAGGGGTCTCGCTCGGGAACGCGTAGCTGATTCCTTTCCCGAAACCTCCAAGACAGTACTTTCCACACGACCACTTCGTAAGTGTGAACACGCCAGAATCTCCATATAAAGGGGTTCTTCCGATATGGTTCCCGTCCGAGGCTCCATTAAGCCACTGACTCCCTTGACTTTCTGAGCTCTGGTGCGCCGTTCCTTGTACGTCTTTGATATGTACAGGGTCGTTGGGATTCACGGCGCGGCCTATAGTGCAGGCCTCGTTCCCGCAGATCTTGAAGCGCCCGATACGGTGCTGGCTGGAGTGGTCGGCTGCGCTGTAGTGCAACTGTATGCTATCGTAGCCGAGGGTATGGCCGTTTTCCATCCTGAAGACGTAGCATTTTCCTATTAACCGATTAGATTTCTCCGCGATTATGATAAAATATGCAAGAATAAATTAGCACATACCGGTAGTGATGCCAGAATCGCAACCTATTGGCCCCCTGCAGCCACCATCTGCAGCCGGACTCGTTCCCAGCGGACAGACACACTGGCCATCCACCATAACCTTCCCGTTGCTGCAAACCCAGCCACATCTAATGCCATCGTAGGACTGACCTATAGGGCAGCATCTATAGCCGGTATGGTCGCTCCCAACTAGATCGTGACCCTCGGCACAGCAATCAAATGCGGTATCGGGGCTCCCAAGCAGTCTCTGACCTGGCGCGCAGCAAGCTACGAATACCTGGTCTGCGTCGAATGTGAGACGCTTGCCGGTACCCCCGACGCACCGGAAAACATCTTCGAAGTCGGAGTCGGCCTCTTTGAAGAGAATCTCCTGGCTTCTTTGATCGATGCGACTGTCATGGTCAATCTGGGCTATTTCGACATTTCTCTTGTTAAGGTCGCGGCGGATCGCTCCGAATGCGAACGGTAGTCCGACACTAGAGGCGACGAGCCCAAGTCGTAAGAGCTTCATGATGATGGTAGCTCTAAGCAATGCTTTGAGCAAGCGTCGCGATGGAAGATTAATTAAATATCAATGATAGCGATATCCCTGAACTTGCTGTTGGGATCGGATTTCTTCGTAACTTCATCGTGCTGGGAAATTTATTAGTTTTGATATTGGTAGTAGACATCAAAGGGCCGATTATCAAGGCGGCTTTCACATCTACCTACAACTCAACGAGGTTGCCTTACTGCCACAAATACACGTTGAACGATTCACAAAGCGACGTAAACATAATCTTCTTCCTCATTGCGCAGCTATGTATTGCTGTCAACCAACACGAGACCTAAGTATAGAGTACTAATGATCTGCGCTGAAGATAAAATCGAAGGAAGGCTGCTCCCGCTGGCAGATTTCTTGGTTATTCGATAGATGAACGTCGATCCACACAGGGAGGGACGATGCTTCAGGTACGTAACTCGCGAATCATAACTTTTGTATAAATTACGCACTACGTGGTCGAGGGGTTTAAAATCCGCGATAGGGTCTGTGTTACCGCCACGTCTCTTGACCTCAGCTTTCAGCTGGAAGCATAGTTGTCTCTGCCAAGAGTAACGAAGGCTATGAAGAGGCAATTTTGAGGCCTTCGTCTGTTTACTGGTACAGAGTGGAGATAGGGACATTCGTTTCTTACTGGTTTTTCGGCGGTGATGGAGTTCGACTTACGATGCGTGAGGAGCCGAAAGCCGCTAAACCGTTAATATATCAAAATAATTTATAGGTTTAAATATTAAAATACTAAAATACCAAAATAATAAAATAAATAAAATAATAAAATAGTAAAAATTTAAAGTTATAATTAATAAAGAAAAAATTATTATTATAAAAATAACGTTATAATTAATTACGTTTTATATATAATATATTTTTAAATTAATTATAATTATATAAAAAGTTAAATAAAATATTTTTATTATTAATTATTTTATTTAAAATTTTAATAACTTTAACGGCTTTTATTAATTTTTTAAAAATTTAACGTAATAATATATATATGTAAAAAATGTAATGTATTTATATTATTATATTAATTAAAGGTTTATAATTTAATTATTATAAAATTAAAAGGTTAATAAAAAAAATAATAATATTTTAAGGAATTAAAATATTAATAAGTTATAAAGTTTAAATATATATATATATAAAGTGATATTTAATTTAAATATTAAGTTATATAAATAATTAACGAAATTAAGTAATTATGTAATTTTTAATTGTGATATTAATTATATATATATTTTAATTGTATTAGTTTTTTTTTTAAAAAAAAAAAAGATTTATTATAAAATGGTGCTTTTTTTTAAAGTTATAAATAATTAATAAATTTTAATTTATAAAATATAATAAATTTAATTAAAGTAAGTTTTTAATAAATAAAATATTTATTAAATAATTTTTAATAAAATTAAATTAAATTAAATATTAAATAATAAAAATTATAATAAATATATAATATAATAAAAGATTTAAAATTTAATTTAAATTTATTTATTAATTAATTATTTATTATATTATATATAAAAGGATTTTAATTTTTTTTTAAATTTAAAAAAAAATAAACGTTAATAATATTTTAAAATATATATTATATAAATTATTTATTAATTAATTATTTATTATTTTATAATAGTAATATATTAAAGATAATTTTTATAAAATTAAAAGGTTAATAAAAAAGAAAATAATATTTTAAGAAATTAAAATATTAAAGGTTTTATAATTTATAATAAAACTTAAATATATATATATTAAAGATGTTTAATTTAAGTATTAAATTATTGTAAATATTTAACGGAAATAAATAATTACGTAACTTTTAATTATAATAATAATTTTTAATATTAAGTTTATTAATATATAATATATATAGTAAACGTTATTTATTAATAATTTTTAAAGTATATAAAAGGTTTTATTTATTTAAAAGATTTTTAAAAGAATTTAATTAAATATATATAACATTATAAATAAATTTAATTTAAAAAGTAAAAAAATAATTATTTATTATAAATATAAATTATTAAATTATATATATAAATTAAAAAGTATAAATTAATTAAATAGTTTAAAAATATGTTATTTATTTATAAGTTTAATAATTTTATAAATTTTATTATTATAAGATAAAAATGTTAATAAAAAAAAAATGATATTTTAAAAAATTAAAATATTAAAAGTTTTATAATTTAATTTAAAATTTAAATATATATATATTTAAAATATTTAATTTAAATATTAAATTATATAAATATTTAATAAAATTAAACGATTATATAATTTTTAATTATAACGTTTATTTATAAAATAAAAATAAAATATATAAAGTTTTTATAAATAAATATTTATAAAAATAATAATATAAAATTTGGTTTTTTAATAAATTAATATTTATATAATTATTATTAATAATAATATTACCACTTATATTATATTAATTTTAAAAGGATAATTTTACGTAATATTATAAAATTGTAATTATGTAAATTTAAGTATTATATAATTGAAATTATATATATAAGACTGTTTTTTTACAATTTATTTTTTTAGTAAATTTTTTTTTTTATTTTAACTTTATTATAATATTAAAAAAGACTTTTTAACGCGTAATTTATATAAATTAAATAATTTTATTTAATATATTATTTTTTATAATAAAAATTATAATATTATTATATTATTTATTATATTATTTACCGTATTATTAATTATATTATTTTATATATTATTTTATATTATTACGTTATTTATTTTATTATTAATATATTATTTAATAAAATGGTAATAATATTAAAATTAATAATTGTAAAAAACTTTATTAAGTTAATAAAATTAATAAAGTTAACCGTTTTTATTATCTTTATTATTTTAACCGTTATTATTATTTTAATTAAATTTATTATTTTTACCGTTTTAATTATTTTAATTATTATAGTTAAAGCGTTTAATTTAATTATCGAAACGGTTATTAAGTTATTTACTACTTTAATCGGTTACGTTATATGCGTTATTAATGTTATTTTAAGCGTTTTAATAAAATTATTTAATTTAATTAAGGAAATAATTTAAAAATAAAAAAATTAAACTTAATAAAAAAACCAAATTTAAAATTATTAATAAATTTAAAAATGGTTTAATCTTTAAGTTAATTATTATTTTAATATAATTATTATTAATATTTTTATTTATTATAAACCATTATTTTTAAATATAATATTAAATAATAAATAATATTAAAATAAATTTTATATTATTATATATTTTTTTTATTATATAAATTTATTTATATAAATTTATAATATATAATATAATAGTTTTTTTAAATAATACGCGCTTTTTTATTAATTAAATTTTAAACTATTTATTTATTTAATAATAAATATCTTTTAATATTATTATTAATGGATTTTTTAAAAAAACTTTTTAAAAAAAAATAAATTTATATTTAAATAAATTAAAAGTTATTAATAAATTTTTTAAAAAATAAATTTTTAAAAATAAAAGAATTATAATTAAATATATATTTATATTATTAAAAAGTTATAAAAATATTTTAAATAATTTTATAATAAAGTTTTATATTAATTAAAGATTTTTTTATTTATATTAAAATAATTATTTATTTATTTAAAAATAAAGATAATTTAATTTATATTAAAGGAATTAATTTATTTTTATTATATTTTAATAATTAATTTATTTTTTATTTAATTAAAGATTTTTATTAATTATTATTAAAAAAGTTTTAATATTATTATATAATTTATATTATTCTTTAAAAAAGGTTATATTAATAAAATTATATTATTAATGTTAATTTAAAATTAATAAGAATAAAGTTAAATTAATTAAGTATTTAAAAAAGTAAAATAAAAAATATGTTTTTTAAAAGATTTTTATAAAGTAAAAAATAATTATAATTAATTTAAATAAAAATTTAAATATATTAAAGATTAAAAATAAGGTAATAAATTTAAATTTATTAAAATTTTTTTTTTTTAAGTTTTTAAATTTTTAAAAAATTAAATAAAATCTTAATTTTAAAAATATATTTTATAATAATTTTTTTAAATTTTTTAAATTTTAAAAAATTTTTAAATATAAAAAATTTTATAACTTTTAATTTTTATTTATTTTTTATTTTACTTATTTTTTTTGATTTTTTAAAATTCTTTTTTATTTTTTATATATTTATAAAATTTATATTTAAATGTGTTTTTTAATTTATAAATATAGTTTTACGTAATAATATGTTTTTTTTATAATTTAATTATAATAAATTTTTTAAAAATTTTTTAAAAATATATTTAAATTAATATATAGTAATAAAGTTATATAATATTATAAATTATATGTATTATAAAGTAAAAAACGATTAAATTTTAAAATTAATTTTAAAATATTTAAATAAATTAAAATAAAATTAATAAAATTAATATTTAAATTTTTAATAAATAAAGGATTTTATAAAATATTTTAATTATATTAATTAATATAATTAAAAAATTATTTTAAATTTATTAAATAAATTATTTAAGTTTATTTTATTAACTTTATTTTAAATAATATTTTATAATTTTAAAGTTATAAAAAAAAATAGGTATTATATAATTAATTTATTTAAATATATATTATTAATTTATTATTTATTTAATTAATTTATATTTTAAAATAAATTATTTTTTATTTTTAATTTTA